AAGTACAAATGTACCTCAAAATCAATGAAAACACCATGCTGTGTTCGCTCTTTCCATGTAATTCAAGTTCCACAGGGGTTTAATGGTCCATTCTGTCTGCACACATCCAAAACACTGTTATACTTTCAATTATTGGGAGTCTTTTGAGAGCAAAGGGTCAGAGGGATTCCTAGTTACTTAATAAAGGGATTTGCTCACAAATATAGTTCAAAATAAAATAAAATGTTCCCCCAGAATATCATGAACCCTCTTCCAATACTCTACAATGCTCCACTATAACAGGAGCCATTATAAAGCTTCAAAACACGACTCAAAATATATGTAAAAATCCATACATGTATTCATAATAATAAGAAAATAAACACAGCTAACACTGCTGTGCTTCAACTAAATCATCATTGCCTATGTGCTCAGACCAGGAGCTCTGGAGCTGGTGGTAAACATCCCCACTCAGTGTACTCCCACTGCAATGAACGCATGCTGCTCATCATGAAGAAGGAAGATGGTAGTTCGCTAAGGCGAACACACCCCCACATCACACGGTCCGTCAAGAAGGGGCTCGTTGTTATTGTAGCCAGCCCTGCGTGCACACTGTCACTAGCAAGTCTCGCTGCTCTGATATTAAAAAAAAAAATAAATAAAAAAAAACACGAAGCGAAATCAGACCCTCAAACATTATCGATACACAGTTATTGGCGCTTCGATATAAACACGAGTGGTACAAACAGAGTCACCTCCGAGCAGTATAAACACGATATTATACTAGCTTGTGTAGAGAAGGGGGGGAAAAACATGTCCACCTCCCATTTTCCTATGCATCAGCAATAGCCCCGATGGCTAGCGTGGCGTAGTGCGTAGCATGGTAGCTGTCCTAGCTTAACACTAGATAGCAATGGTAATGATTTTAGTTTAGTGTACGAGCTCCTTCAACTTCAGCTACAAATGCTTTAACCCGCCGTGTGGCGATGTGCAGGGTCGAGGGTGAACACAGCAGCCCGCCGAGCAAAAAACATGCAACTTTAACGTTACAACCGGATAATAACGGTGTAGTTTGTATGTGTGTGGATGTAGACAGCTAGCCTGCGAGCTAACCAATCAGCTAACTGTGTGTTAGCCTCGCTGGAGGGTTGACACCTCAATGCTAACAGCTAGCCCCTTGAGCTCAGCTTGAGAATAAGAAGATCATTTAGTAGCCAAACGATTATCTAACACACACATATATATACACATATATATCTGGAAGCGACTAAAGTGAATAACGAGCAGCTCTTTATTTCTTTTTACTCTGTTTCTGTTAATCTGAGGCGTTGCAGACAGACGCTAAGTTCACGTTAGCTCAGTTGCAGGACACAACACTGTGTGTGTGTGCTCCTCGTCTGCTTCATATGTTGACATGTCTTGTTTTCAAACATATTTCAGCTCCTCTCGAAGCTCTCACGCTGCTAACACCGAGAGGAAACGTCCGGCTGGGAAACACAGATGCTTAAATGCACATTTTTAACGCAGGAGAATAAATATTAACCCCCAGACGGGACGATAACTTTTAACTGTGTGTTGATGAACATGAATATCAGAGCATCATATTCGAGCTAATGTCAGGTAGCTTCACTAGTAAACCAGTTGTTACGGGTTATTTACAGAGTGTAGCGACACATTAGTCAGCCTGTGTGTCGACTGTGTGTTTGTTTAATTAACAACACAACCCCAGGCTACATATAAACATATATAATATCTCTACATACTGTGTTTGGATCGGGTTTAGCACACACACTAACGTTAGCACCAGTTCATCCAGCACTGTCCTCAGACACCACCACCGAGCCGGAGGAAAACTTTACAACCATTACATCGTCTTGTTTTCTAACTTCTTGTTTAACGTTATAACACGTTACTATGGAGATTAAGGGCCACACACACACACACACACACACACACACACACACACACACACACACACACACACACAGACCACAAAGTTAACGGAGCATCCTGTGGAAACGACAAGTTTGCTCGCAGCCACACTTTAGGTGAGGAAGAGGAGAAAGATGATCAAGGTTTTTTTTTGTTTGGGGGGGGGGTGGTGAAGGTGGAGAAGTGCCCGCTAGCTCCTCATCTGAGAGAGGGAGAGAGAGAGACGGAGCTCTGCAGCGGTAACCCGGTTCACCCATCAGGAAGGGGGGCTGCTCCTGTCCCGGTTCCTGTGCTTACCTCCCCGCTGCTCGAGTCACTCGATTCCCCCAAAACATCACGGAATTTCTGCAGGTTGCTCCCGATGACCGAAGAGACCTGTAGTGCAGCATCAAACCCGGGTCCGAGCCCAGCTGCGTTGGGGTGGGCTCCAGAGACACTCCGCAGAGAGGCAGTAACCCTGATTCGGCCCGCTCTCCTCCCGGTACCGGAGTTGCTGCTCCCTCCGGGCCGAGCTGGGAACCGCCACCGACAGCTGTGCGCCATTTTACACTCTCTGCCTGTCTGCCCTGCGATCAGAGATACCTCGGTGGGCGGAACCCTAACCCAGCACTCCACATAAACAACCTCTACCACAGCGCTCCGCTCTCACTGGCCGACACATCGTTATGCATGTTGCGGGGCGGAACCGAAGAAACCTCGACAATGCATTTTGTCAGCGGCCCTATTCAGGCTCGGCATGGCTGAATCCAAATCAGGTTCAGGGGCTTTGCCCGGGAAAGGAGGCTCGCACTTGAATCACAAGGAAGGAGCAAGAGTGTTAGTTTGTAGCGTGGGTTTTCTTTAACGAGTAATAAAAGTGATGAGTTTTTATTGTTTTATTGTTATTTTTTATATTTGCTGCTGTCAGAAACTCCAACATTACCGCAGGAGTTCGTGTGAAAAAGCAAGGGAGCATGTTGGAGTAGTTACCTGTATTTATGTGTTAAGGCAGGGGCGGAGCAAATTAATCCGCACCTGAGGAAAGACTAGTGTAGAAGTGGGGTGGGCACTTATTTTCTATTGGGGGGGGGCACATGAGAGCTTGGTCAGACAACCATGAGCCAAACTATGGTGACCAGATATCGGGTTTTTCGGTATCCAAAGTCTCCACGATTGGGTGTTTATTTACTGATCAGAGCTTCCGGGTCTGTGAGGTGTGTTAAACCTGCATTCTGTGTATTGGCCAGCAGGGGGAGCCTCCATGTGCTGTAATAACACACCAATAACCATGTGCTCTTATGGACAAGTGACCCGACTTCTCACTGGATTTATAAGCTCAGTAAACAGTTTCCTAATGAGTTTATGATCTCAGTCGCTAGTTTTATGTCTTCTTCCATACAGCATGATGTTCATTTTGTAAATTATGGTCCAGTTTAGAGTAAAATATACAATAAAGCAGGGTATGCTTTTACATGTGCTTACCTTGTGATTGTGCTGGTCGAATATGAATTAAGATTTCTCACCTAAAAACATATTTTAGTGTACTGTTTAGCTGTAATACGAGATTATGTGTGACCAAGTGAGCTGTCATTGTTTCCTGCTATGGACGAACCGAAACTGCACAGCCAATGAGAGCAGCTCAACTCTTAGTACGTCACCTCTGCTGGCTTTGACAAACTGTCCTGGCGATGACCACAACGCTAAACTCAAGGCTTCAAAACGTTATCCCACAAACCAGTGGGTGATGTCAAGATAGTTTCCCACTCCCAACAAATATGTGTAAAACACTAAATGTACTTGTTTTCAGCACTCACCAGCACATTGTCTAGTTTTTACCACAAATAACAATTATAACATTATACTTTTTTCAGAACTTACATTGACATTTATTATGTTCTGTTTTATCAATTTGGTCCTTATTAAGCTGTAATGAAAAACAATGAAATTAAGTTTTAATTTGCTTATGGGTTATTGTTAGAATATCAACTCTGCTATAATTCTGCTTCACAGAAGAGATTTGGCTTCTCCTCAAAGCTCTATGAGAGTGTTTGTTTACATTACAACTTAATAAAAAGAGAGTAAAAAAAGAAAATAAGTTTTTAAAAAAGTGGAAATTAGATAAAATGTAGTCAAAATGTGAAGTTGTACTCAAAGATATTTATTTATATATATATTTAAGTTAATTAAATTGGTATAAAAGAAGTTCTCTATTTAGGCTGACATCTCTTGTTATGGTTAAAGCTTTAAGAATCCCAAGATTTACGATATCAGCCCAACAACTAGAGTTGGGACCTCATTCACATATCAGATATCGAACTCACATCACCGTTCCACGTATTGACCAAGATTCCAGATGTGTGTGTCAGCGTGAATGTGATGTAGTGTACAGCTTGTGCCGGTGCCACCTGACATTTCTCAATTTAAACTATATATATATATATATATCATGATGCATAAACAATGTCCCAGAATTGTCCCAGACATTGTATTTTTGTGTCCCAGGTGCTAATTTTATTGTAAATACGTGTAATAAATGTGTTATACTCTGGAAATCATGATCGTATGCAGAACAACTGAATTAATTAGTGTTGATTGAATATGTATATAAAACATATAGTATAGTGGAAAAGTAAGAACTGCTACTTTTAGTCCATGTAAAGATGAAAACTACAAATTCCAATAACAAATGAGTACTTGCTATAGCCTGTCAGTGTTTCTCAGTATTCATTAATAGAAACAGGTAATTGTTAAAGTAAACAATTAAGTTTATAATGTGAACTAGATGCGCAAGTTACAACCAGGAGAAGCTCCATGCACAAAGATTAGAGGTTTTAGGTCCCAAAACTAAATAGTTTGAGCTCTTAAAGCCATATGAGGATTGTTAGTGCAGAGTACAAGAGAGGCTCTGGCCCTTAAGAATTTCACATCGTTGCTGAGATTTGACATATACACATCACTACTATAGAAGTTGTTTGGAAGAGACTTGGAGATATAATATAACAAGTTAACAACCCTTCAAACTGCGACTAAAGTGTGCTATACAATTTTATCCTAAAAGTAAAACGCAATGGACTGAAACTTGTATTTCTGAAAGAGAACATAACAATGTCTTATATAACACACATTAGTTTTATTTCTTAATCATACTGTACATCCAAAATAAACATTTTATAATCACAATTAAAACAAAAATATTGCATTATAATTTAACCCAATGTAATCATTCAGGTGGTAGATATTCAACAGACAATATGAGGGCATGCCAACAGATACATAATCTTTCTTTCACATTTAGTCATTTTTATACAACCACACTTGATTTTGAATTATAACCTTTTAATTCAAAAAGCTACTCAAAAACTGATCATCTTTTTTTTTCTTTTATATCCTACCCACAACCTCCTATATGCCCTAAAGAAACAAACTCATAATTATGTCTCTTAAGAGTATGAAGCAAGTCAGATCCTCATTCACTGACATTTACTGCAAGGCTCTTGGTTTTAGGCACCGATTCTATCGATCAACTGTTTGCCCACATGTTAATACACTATGCTTGCACACAACAAAAAAACATCTGTTCAAAATGCTAGATCAGGATACATCAGTTAATCTGGTGAATGTTATTTCAAAGGATGTCAATGACTATTAAACACACTGCCGGTCAAAAATTTGTTAACACCCTATATTTAGATTTTTTTTTGGTTCAATCTCAAGAAATATGGTCATTGTAAAGACCTTGAAATTAAACTATGTTTGTAAATTTAGAAAATATTGGGATTTATTCTGATAGTAAATAAAGCTATGATGCATTTTGCAAGCCTATGTTTCGCCACAGGATTTTAGTTTGGAAACATCCACCTGTGAAGCAATTCAACTCAGCTGAAGATGTACGGACAAATCAGCAATTATTTAAAGGGCCGGTGCGTAGGATTTAATGGACTCTAGGGGTGAAAGTGCAGATTGCAACCATTTGAAAACAGGTCAGCCTTCCCAGCATGTAGGAGAAACTACTACTACTACTGTAGAAACATGGTAGTTCAACGTGGCCAAATCCATAGAAAGGATCCGCTCCCTCTGTAGATAGAAGCAGGTAATTCTAAGGTAACAAAAACACATCGATTCTTATTTTCAGGGTGTTATACACTAATTAAAACATATCCATGAATATTATATTCTATTTCTGCCAGTAGAGTCACCTAAGTGTTACACACTGGATATTTTAAACTAGGCATTGTAGATATATTGTGAAACACCTCAGATTTATTCACTATGAGTTTGGTGAATAGTTCCCCAACAGCTACCATGTTTTTCCAGTTTAGAAAGCTGGATTTTAATAGTATTTTCTTGCCTTTTTATGCTGACATAATTTCTCATTTGGTGCCCACGATCACTGCTGAGAGTCTTAAAGGGGCACTTCACAGATTTTATACATGAAGATCGGTTTACTTGTCATGAGTACTACTACTCAGCTGGTGAAAACACCAGTATGTCCTCCGTTGCTCTGAGGATAGTTTTCTAAACCATTTTTGATTGATTTTTGAGAATGCTGGAGCTGTCGAGCCACTGTCAGTATTAACATAGTTTTAGTGTGTATTTTGGCATTTTTAGGTATTCTTAAATTATGTTTAAATGTACTACATCCTAAAATGTGGCTCAAATTAGTGTAATTATTGTATAGTAATTGAAACAGTTTAAATTCTTATATCCAACAACCCATTAATTAGCAAGCTCTCGGATCCTTATGAGATCTTTAAGGAGTGCATGATTAAAGGCAAGTGCACTTGAGGATTTGATGACCCTTGTCTAAATATGGTAAAACACAGATTTCCCAGTATGGTTTAGTGCTACAGGTGTCCTATTACAGTGACCATCTCAAGTAAATCTAGATTATTTCCACTAAAATAAAAAGCACACACAATCAAATTCAGTTTTACCTATGACTTAAATTTAATTGCTAATGTTATTTACAATGGTACTTGAGATTCAACTAAAAGTGCTAAAATATAGGGTGTTCAAGATCTTCAAAAGGCAGTGCGCGATGTATTCTTCATGAAGGTGAAATCAAAGTCAAATCATAAACAATCCCATCCATGTTCTGCCTTTAAGAGTTCCCAAAAATACTTACCTTGCAGTATAAAATCTGGTTAGGGCCAGCTGGTCAGTCAGGAGTTCATACAGTACATTCAACAAGTCCTGTTGAAACTGATACTTCTGGCCACAGTTCTGATTGTAATAATAACTAATTAATACACAGTATTCAGGGAGAGAGGAACCAGAGATTGAACCCTACTATTGTTACCGCAGGTCACGGGAGTCGAACAGCTATTGTGCACGGATCTTAAAGCTGTCACCAGCCGGTGGGCTACTGTTTGCCTGGACTGTTGTCACAGAGGGAATCCACTGAGCATGAAGGCTGCATGAAAAGGCTAATGCAATGTTAGTCGGACCGGAGTAGTCAGAGGAAATCCACAGAGGCAAGCACACCATGGATAAGCCAAGAAGCAGAGGAGCACGCGAGTTGTGAGCCAGGAAAGAAAACAAGGAGGCAGCCATTGTTTATTGCAGCGAGGGATCGTAGCTAGCCACTCGGTCCCAGCTGCAGCCTCTCCTGCTTATGCTTATCCAGCCACTGTAAGATCTGCTGTTTGAGTTCCTCGTTTGGCCTGATCTGGTCCATGGTTAGAGGACTGCGGTTGAATGGGTCTGTCTGGTCACTGTGAGGAGAACAAGAAAAGTCAAATGGGTGCCCATGGTGCCCACTGGATATCATCTTGAGAGAATTTTCGTGCTTTGTAGAGAGTAACCAACCTGAGGAGATGCCTTGCTATAGTTGAGCGGTCAACTGTGACATTGGAGGAGGGGAGAAGAACAGGATCGAGCATCAGAGTGGACATGATGGGATCCAAAAACTCATCTGGGGCATCTGAATATGTCTCCTCTTCCTGCTGCTGTCTGTCTGCATGGGACTAAGACACAATGGACAACAAACCTTTAGTGTTTCCACCTGTATTTACCACAGTGAACACTGCATAGATTCATAAAACAAATATTTATTCCAGTCTGACAAACAGTTTCCAAGTCAGATGATACCTTTATTTTATCAGCAAGGAGTCCAAAAGCCACAATCATGTCCCCAGGCTTATTTATCTTCTTTAGTACCCTAACTGTTTGGGAGAAGAGGGTAGGAGAGTACGATCGGCCATCTTTTGGGACTGTAGCACAGAAATTTTCCTCATCGCTGCCAAAGACAGAAACATTTTCTTACAAAATTGGAAACCACAAAAGTGCTCATACTCAGCAATGTGCCACTGTATTTCTTCTCCAGAGAATATGGCATCAATAAAATAAAGAGATGAAATAAATTATACTAGGTAGAAAATATTTAAAGGAGACTGCTAAAAGTGTTTTACAGTGTTTTTTTATATTGGTAACAATTCCACAGAGAAAAGTGTTCACGACATACCCCAGGTTCAGGTAGATGGTGCAGATGTCAGACACAAGCTGCTGGGGCTTGAAGTCAAACTCACTGAAGTCCTTGACTTTAAGGGCACCCATCTTAGGACCCACCAGGTGCTGCAGGAAATAGTTCAGCATGGAGATGATCCTCTCTGCCAGGAACGGGTGCACAAAGATCCCCTTGATCTCTGGAAATAAGGAAAATTAAAAAAGTAAAACCACAAGATGGATGCGACAATCTTTAATTGGATTAATCAATATGAAGAGTTGGGGCGGCTGTGGCTCAGAGGCAGAGCAGGTCGTTCCTCAATCGGAAGGTTGTGGGTTCGATCCCCGGCTCCTGGTGCCACATGTCGAAGTATCCTTTAGCAAGATACTGAACCCCGAATTGCTCCCGATGCCGTGCATCGGTGTGTGAGTGTGTATAAATGTTAGTTTCTGTTCGATGGACTTTGCCATCACTGAGTGAATGTGTGTGAAAGGGTGAATGTGGCACGTAGTGTAAAAGCGCTTTGAGTGGTCGGAAGACTAGAAAGGCGCTATACAAGTACAGGTCCATCCAAAACTTTTCTGCCTCACCTGAGGTGAGGAAGGCCAGTGTGCCGATGGTCTCATTAGACATGATGTTGTGGAAGCGTCCCAGTTGTCCAAACATCTGCAGGCTGGACTCCTTCTCTCTTCGGGCATCAGGGGCCAGGCCTTCCCACTCCCCACGATCCCGCTCCAGCTGCAGAACCTTGATCTTACTCAGGTACTACAACACAAGAAGATAACAACACTATAAGATATAACAATAACGACGTGAGGATCCACACTGATGAATGGTTACATAAGAGTTCTTCAAAAAACAAGAGGAGTTAGGAGAATCCAACACTCTGTTAAGAGATTTTTCAACTTTTGAAGACAAATTTTATTCATACTTCGTAGAGCTAATAAAAAAAACTATATGAACATGAACAAACAACAACAGATAAAATAATGAAGAGGACTGAAGAGCTTATTTGCCAAAACTGGTGTTTGCATGTATGGATGATGAACTCTACCTGAATAGCCTCATCCAGGAGGAAGATGGCATCGTTCATCAGTAAGTTGAGGAACCTGAGGAACAGAGGGGCGTTCATGGCCTCCAGGTTCTCAGATGCATAGTGCGCCAAATGCTGAAACAAAAAATGTTAAACTAAATGAAGAGCACATTGGGATCAATCTGATTAACTAATACATTTCCCAATATATAATCACCTGGTAGTAAACCAATGCCTGTTTTTGTTTTCCCTTTATAGCCACTTATGGCTATTGAGGGTCACAAGGAACCAAACCCTATCCCAGTATGTTTACCAGTTTATCGCAAGGCCTTAAAGTACACAGAGTCTTTTCCTTCCTCCATATTTCCTCAGTACTACAACTCTCATTCTAGAAAACAATTTAAATGAGATGTGTTAAGCAGTTTATTTGCTGCTCTTGTCACTAAAAATCAATGTTCATGAAGTTGCCCGATCATAAACTCCACAATACACCTGATTAAGATTTTTATGTACACCCACCACAAAATATTAACATCATATTTACATCCTCTCAAGCCTGTTATTACCTTGATACTCTCTCTGTAGTTCTCCTTGCCCCACATGTACTTGAGGATTGGATACATGGGTCTTCTGTAGTTGAATTTCTGTTCAAACTGATGAGGATCACCTGAAAAAAAGAGAAAAACTAAATAAAATCAATCATTCTTCTCTGCAGGCTTCGATTTCTAACTTGTTTCTGTATTTTGATTTACAGACACATAATCCAACTAAGAAAAAACCCACAAGTGATCCCAAAACTCTGCTTTTCTTTTCTTTTTTGTCAAAGATGGCACCTGTTAAGCAATCCATGTGTAAGTCTGTTTATATTCAAATTCAGCAGTACTGTTAAAAAACAAGAGTTCAGTGCAGTTTACAACTAGCACCAGTCAAAACTTGTGAGAAAAACATCTGCTTCACCTGTGAATTCAATGTCTACAAACACAGCGATGAGGGCCTCGGCCAGCTGAGGTGCATGTCTATAAGAGCAGAAGACTCTCTCTCGCTGGAACACGATTGGCTGAACAGCACCGGGAGCCACCGGCTCCATGTGGGGCATCACCGCCTCTAAGACCTCTGCGAGCTTTGCTCTTAAATGAGGGTTCTTCATCCTGTTGTAGATATAGAACAAGAGGGATTAAGGCAATTTGTGAAATCCAAGATGGACTACTCAAGCCCCAGTGGAGCTCACAATTTTTCCTTTCAACTGACCACACTCACTGACAGGATAGATTAGGTCATGTACCTCTCTACGTTACCCATGAAGACAGTGATGAAGTTAAGAATCTGCTCCAGACTTTCTGCAGAAGTCTCCAAAACATCGTCTGCAAATCGACGCAGGAAGATGAAAAAATCTCCCAAGTTCTCTGCAAAAAACTCTGAAAACAGAAGGCACACTTAAGTAATGACTATCATAGGAAGGAATATTGAGCACGAATGAATAATTGAACCTCGAGTGACTAACCACTACTTCCTAGCCTGCACAGCTTTAGTAATTCCAAAACATTTTGTAGCATTGGCTGTATATAGTATAGATTTCAATATCAGGTCCAAAAGAGCTTTTGAACTGTTATTATTCACTTGACCTCCTGAACCCTGCAGTATTTTATAAACTACATTTTAAAAAGTGAATTTTGACAATAAAATGGTCATTGCTGGCAATGTGTCATAACATCAAGAGGGAAATGCTGTTACATTCAAATTATGTTTCTATCAATTACGATGAGGTGGAAAGCAGCATTTAAAAACACAGCACACAATTTTACATGCTCCAATTCAGGAGGTACAAAATATAATCAAAGATGAAGATGGGCTTTGTGTTTCACTGTAGTATAGTAGAAGATCTGATATACCTGGTACATAGCACAGCACAGTATTCTGTAGGGTGGGCAGGGGAAAACTGAGTGCTACATGTTCAGGCCCCTGATTCCCCATACCAAGCTGAACCAGCAGAGCACCGGTGGAAGCTTGGAGGTTAAGGCAGCATTGCAGCATGGCGGGCTGCGTGGTGGCAGCTTTGGTTGACAGATAAACAATCATGAGACGCTCAAACTGCTCCAGGAGCTGCTCCGACATTGGGTTGCCTGCTCGCTGGGCCTCCTGCCACGTGACCTGGAGCCGGTGAAGAGACTGGTTCATCTTCACCATCTGCTCATGGAGTCTGCACGTGCACATTATGCATGCGCACAGGTGCATGGATGCAAACAGAACAAGACAACACGGATTAATGCTGACATATGGGGCTAATTCAAACAACATACAGTACACTGCATATCTGTGGGATCTGTGAAACAAATGTTCTCTTTAATTTCTTCATGGAAGTTTCAGGATGTACCTGTGGAAGCCAAGATGCAGGGTGAGTTGTGTGAGGATGAGGTTTTCAGTAAGCAGGCTATAAGACTGTGCAGACTCCACCGGCTGCTGAGGTGGCACAGGGATCAGACAGGTTTCCTTATCGAGACCTGATGTAAGAGAAGGGGGATCAATTAGTCATAAAAATTTATGTATACTCTTGGAACATCCTACTGCTATTAAAATACCTGCTTTAGACCCACTTGTAGAAACAAAATCAGAGGTGTTGCTTTACTACTGATACATAAACGTTATAAAATATATTTATTCTGGTGAAGGGACAGGAAACATTAACCTCTTGCGTGCACATTGCGATTGCGCCTCTCTTCTTCGCTCAGGTCTTTGAGGGCACAGTAAGTAGGGTTGAAGGTGAGCAGTTTGGGCGAACGCGGCCTACAGAAGGGCTGGCACAACTTCAGCAGCGCTGCACCCAAGTTTAAGAAGAATGCATCTGAGGCATACATCTGGAAGAAGATCTCTGGCATCTGATTGGCCCATATCTTGGCCCGGCCAGCGTTAGCCTGCAGACAGCTCCCCAACCATGAGAGCAGCAAGTGGCGCGTCTCACCAGATCGCTGGAGCAAGTTTTTCAAGATCTGGTGCAGCTTGTCATGAAACTGACCCATGAACTGCAACACAAGGGGAGTAAAGATCAGCCCTGTTTCATCTTAAAAATAAAAAATGCAACAGAAGAGCAACATCAAACTAATGAGTCTGTTTACCTGGTGGATGTTTGCCTCCTGGACCTTTGTCTCCTGGGCACTGGAGCGGGAGGGGTTCAGGAAGTAGCCATGTCCCTCCACCACACCTGGGGTTTTCAACAAGCAGGAGATACTCAACACTGCTCCCAGAAGGCTTTTCTGATACTGTAAACCATTAGCTGGGTCTTTGGGCTGAATGTGTTCCACCAATACCTAGGAAAACCCAAAAAAAGAAGAACTGTTTGGAAAAGCTGGGGGCACTAAAAGAGCAAAAAAAAGGTTTAGGTAGTACTGTGAAATGTTATGCCATTACAGTATGTGACTGATATTCTGTGATTACTGTATATTATTATCACTTCATTAGTAGTGAGCACTGAAATGAACAGTTGCTGTAAGAAGGCAAATCTATGTATTACATTTATTTGCAAACATCCTTGTGTGTCCTCTGACCTTGGCAATATCTTTATGGTGGCTGAAATAGAGCAGAACATCTAGGTAGGAGTAGAGGAGAGGCTGGCACAGGTCCAAGTCTTTGATGCGTCCCTGGAAGATATCAAACACTGGCACTATCACCTCCTCGAAGGTACGCACCTCCTGGTCGGAGAGTAGGCCAGAAATGACCTCCTCCACAAACTCAACCACCTCCTCTGGCTCTGAAACACAGTGACTTTGTAAGAAACTGAGAAGAGAAAACTCGAGGCAAAGTTTACCAAAGATAAAAAGAGACATAGGACAAAAAAGTGAGAGGCAGGGAAAAGACGAATACACCAGAAAAGAAACAGTCGGGCCTAAACAGGCTCAATCCTGAACCTACGTGCTCCACTGAAACTTTCCAGCAGCAGGTCCAGCAGCTGTTCGTAGATATTTTGGCTGATGTAGATCTCCGGGGTGAGCAGGACTGTCCTCGTGTTGGAAACCGTTAGGTTCTTACAGCGAACAGCAAATGACAATAACTTCTCTGGTACCTTTGTCACCTGGTGCACAGATAATCAAGTCACTTAATTATGGGAGAACATTGATTATTTTTATGTCTCAATTACAGAGAAAAGTCTATTAACAACTGGAAATCTCTTAAAATAGTTAGATTTAAGTGCTACAATTAAAGTTATGTAGGAAAAAACGTGCACCTCTTCTTTGGCTCTCTGGTAACAAGCAAAGAGGTAAGGGATGGCACACTTCTGTCCAGCATCACGGTCAGCAGACAGGTTAACAGCACTGCATGACGTCATGTAGATGAGGTGGTTTCCTGGCTCTAGCAGTAGCAGACGGTTAAACAGAGCCTGGAGGATAGAGTGAAACATCACAGACACAAATCAGCCCGTATAAAATATTCTGCACATCTGCATCAAAATAATAAAATCTTCCTGTTTCGTGGGATTCCTTAAATTTCTGTATCCACTTTTTTCACTATGCATCCAAATTCTACAAGTCTCACGTTCTTGCATCAGATGAAAGGTGCCGTTTTTTTAAACATTGCAAGAAGAGAGTGGTGACGTAAAAAACACATGTTGTTGACATCTTACCTGTTCTATGTTGTCCATGTCCAGCCAGTCCTGTCCATCCAGATCTGCAGCCATCTCCTCCAGGTAAACACAGCGTGGGGGGATCCCATTACCTCCTCTCAGACTGGGGTCACCTAGGGGCGAGAATAAAACCAGGGTCCATAAAATAACAAAGTCTGCTCAAATCATATTACATGACAACCCATGAAGCTTAAACCACTCCAAGCATTTATACTGGATTACTTGTAGTTGAAAAATAAATCAACAGCATTAACATCAATTTTAGGATGAATAAGACACGGGAGGATTAAAAGCACTTCATCTATTTATTCTGGTTTATTTCAGACTGAGGTGGCAGACAAATTCATTAAAAACACTATGTGAAAACTGGGGCTTTTAGCCTGCATTTCTGAACACCATGACTCACCCCTAAGCAGTCTTAGTGGTCTAAGAGACCCAGCCATCTCACAGCCAGACTTCACAGTGTGGAATGTCTTTGTATCATCTTCAAGGATGGTGAGTCATTTGTTGCATTACTTACTGCAACTTAAAATTTGACTTTCAAGACAGCTAGCACCATCCAACAATACCACAAAGAACATCAGAACAGCCTATGCAATGCTATGCCTGTACTATTTAGGTATGACAGTTACACACTGACTGTCTAATGCCCCTTCTACATTGAAGCAAGGAGGAAAAGTTTGCGGGTAAAGCATCAAAATTGATTATCCAATCTCTCACATATGGTTTCAGACTGGCTTGAAGACAGATTACTTCAGAAACTACAGTTACTATAGGGCAGCTGCTGGTTTACCATACACCTATAGCTACAATAAGTTAACTAGATATTGCAGATCATCTCTACCTTCCGTGGTGAATTTCCAGTGTTAAAAATAGGGCACAGCGACTACTACTATTTACTGGTGTACAAACAAAACCTGTTCAACAATGCACAAGGAACTAAAGTTGGGGACCTGTTTGTGTGTTACTTTTGACATTTGGGTCACACAGGTTAAATGTCCAGAAACTGGACTAAAGCTCAGGTTGACCAAAGCAAAACATATGACAACCTGAAAGCTACATAGAATTAATTAAACACAAAACATATGTTCAAAATAAAAAACAACTACGTAATGTCCAGGGTTTTTTTGTAGTACCCCATTCAAACAGACAGTGTGATGTGGGTCAAACCAGCGTCTGGGACGTATCTGAATGGGTCAACTTACATCAGTGACAGCTGTCTCCTATCAATACTTCCTTAGCACATACGCTGTGTGAAAGAGGTATAAGTTACAGATCGAAGTCTGATTATTTCTCTGTTTTTACTTACTGTTGTCCAGAGTGATGAGAAATATTCGCTGGATCATGTGATTGACATTGAGCTGTTCACACAGCTCCTGTCGGGACCGGAAGGAGCGGCTGATCTCTGCCACGGAGTCGTCATTGTCATCAACGCTGTCTGACACAGAGTTTTCTGACTCCGACTGGCTCTCTCCTGAGTCCTCCACTGTGATACAAGATACACTATGACCTATATGTGCAAGAAAAAACACTGATGCTTCTCTAACACTGAAATCATGTCATACATGTCATTTGGCCTTTTCCCCGGAGGCATCCACACAAGCCCTGAATATACTCCTTATTAGATGACTGCAATGGTTCTGATAACTCTACTCACACGGTGGTTCAGCAGACAGCTGTTGTGGTTTCTGGCCTGATGCAAACTGCTTGGCATCAGCCAGTGAGCTGAAGAGGGCAGCAAAGGGGTTGCAGGAGATGTTCTGGTTGTTGTTGCCCTGGTCAGTCATCTCACTGGGGCTCAACTCTCACTCCATCCAAGATCTCAGCCTTAACAAGCAATGCAGACACAACAACTGAGTGGCAATGGAACAAGACTTACATTATTCATGTACAGGATTGGTAAGCAAGTGCAGTATATTTCCATAGCTGTATAACTTAAGCACCCAATCAGCTTGGTAGGTTTTTTTTTTTAATTTTTTATCATCACTTCATTCAAATGAAGTGAACCACGTCACTTTGTCTGACATTCTTTACCAAATCAAGTTCCTACTTTACTTCTAAATGTGCTGTAATAAATGCAACTATCCTTTCTTTTTGTGTAGGGGTGATGTTTAAAGCATTACATTCAGAAGGCACTAATGTCAGTAGGTAATCTTCCTCTTCTTCTTTGAGGTTTTAAGGCAATCAGCATCCATGATTCCCCTCGTTGCCAAGTTTCTACAGTGGCTCAATCGGTCCACGTGAACTCAAAAAATAAACTACCTCCACACTTTACTGTGCTTTTTATTCCGGTCTCTAACATTTCCTTTGTATCTCGTAATTTCTGCATATTATGAGGACACGCGTTAATGTTTCTGTCTCTTGACAGTGGTCACAATAAACTGCCAGATGTTTTCCAACAGTGTTACATTAAGTGTAAACCTAAACTACTACAACCTAATTTAATAATAATAACGATGATTACCTCCTCTTTACAATGTGTTCTTCTCCCTCCTCACATACCAACTCTACTTTGGATTAACGTTACATTTCCTCTTTTCTTGCCTGATCCTTTTGTTTTCACTCTCTTCCACACTGCCCTCCTCCTCCTCCTCTTCCTCCTCTTCCTCCTCTGACAGGGTTACAAACTTTTAACCCGACATTCAGGAAAGATGATAATCAATAAAACAACTACTCGCTCCTGTCTGCAGTGAGGAGAAGGACCATCGATCACATGGACCGTCGTTATCGATCACTATCGGCGGCTCACCGTTACAACGTGTTGTCACGGTTACCGATCAGTTTAGTTCAGCACCCTAACGGTCGTGACTCGTGCTGCTTACCAGCCACTATGACACGGTTTCAGCAGCGTCACGTCACCGGTTAAAGCATTAAGTTAGCTGCATTAGCCACTTCACGCTAGTTAGCCGACGAGCTAGCAGGGTTAGCCGGTAGCAGTGGCCGTCTTGTTGCATCAGGGCTAGTTAGCTAGTTAGCTAGTTAGCTGGTTAGCTTGTGGAGTAGCATGCTAAGCTGTCATGGGGTCACCACGACTGTATTTGAGCGTTGGTTGGACAAACTGGGAGGTGGATTTCGTTCGGTATCAGTCTAAGTGATGTGTACGAACGATGGAGGAGGCTGTCGTACCTGATCGACGGGAAGCAGAAGGAGTTTGTGATGGAAACAAAATGTTTCTACGAAGCCAGCTCCTCAGTACGCCGACATTATAACGTCATCAAGATGAGACGGAGGGTCGGCTTCTTCATGACTAACTTTTTTTTTTTTTCTTCTTCATGAAAACACGTTTAATAATTGTTGTGTACTTTCAGTGTTAATAATTGTGTGTACTTTCAGTGTTAATAATTGTGTGTACTTTCAGTGTTAATAATTGTGTGTACTGTCAGTGTGTAATAATTGTGTGTACTTTGAGTGTTTAATAATTGTGTGTACTTTCAGTGTGTAATAATTGTGTGTACTGTCAGTGTGTAATAATTGTGTGTACTTTTAGTGTGTAATAATTGTGTGTACTTTGAGTGTGTAATAATTGTTGTGTACTTTCAGTGTGTAATAATTGTTGTGTACTTTGAGTGTGTAATAATTGTGTGTACTTTCAGTGTTTAATTAAGCAGCTTCTCTGTGGACTGGTAATATAGATAGAGATAGAGATTTCTAAGGTTTTAACCAGATTCACCATTAATGTTTGTGGAAATAATTCTTGTATGTAAAAATAAATAAATAATCTTTAGTTAAGATACTATTTGGACTTTTTATGGAGAAAAATATGGGAAGTGAATATTTTAATATTTTTGGATATACAGACTTAGTGAATTAGTTAGTTGAGTAATAGCAAAATGAAAAAGAAAAAAATAAATCTTTCTGGTTAATAAGAAAACAAATCAATTTCATGAAAACAAAATAATATTAATTTTAACACTTTTACTTTCCAAACAATGTTTCTCCCTTTCTATCTATCTATCTATCTATCTATCTATCTATCTATCTATCTATCTATCTATCTATCTATCTGTCTGTCTGTCTGTCTGTCTGTCTGTCTGTCTGTCTGTCTGTCTATCTGTTTCTTTCTTTCTTTTTAATCTCAGATGAGAGCACACTGGCTGTGTGAGGTCAGTTGTCCCCTCAGTATCTGTCTGTACTGTGGGTTTTCTCTGAGGTTAGCTGACTGTCAGCAGAGGGCAGCAGCAGACTCACTAAAGACAGTCAGTGGTCTCTCCTGACAAACCAGGTCCATGTTTGGCACACATTTTGATGTGTGGTGTACTTTGGGTTTGAGAGTTTGCATTTGGACAGAGACTTGTGTTTTTAAATTAAATAAATGTTTGTAGATGTGAGTTATGTGAAAAAAAATCACATCAATAAAACAAACGGTTGAATTCAAAGCTGTAATAACAATATAATATGTACTTAAAGACCCACTGACTAATCTGTGGCCTTAGCTGACTTACATTTCTTTCTAGAGTTGTTCTTAACATAGTTTTGCCTCCTGTAATTATTGTGTCTGATCCTTTAACTAAAATAATGTGATGATGCCAGTGTCTCCTTTGTATTTGCTCTTTAAAGTCTTTGGAAATAAGTTTCTTCCCTCAACTGCTCATGAGTTTCATATGCCTCTAACTTTATCCATCAGTACTTGTTGCTGCCGTTTTATGTATGTATGTATGTATTAATTTCTCTTTTGTGATTATTTTGTGAACACTGGCGTATTGGTGCAGGAAGTGAGTGGGGACTTGGATGAGCACACAGTTAGTAGCCATGCACATACTGTTTTTGTTGAATAAACCATTTGGAAGCTACAGAAGTGAACACGCATCCTGTAGCAATCACATTGGTACTTACAGTACTGCAACCAAAACTCACTTTCCACTCAACTATGCAGAGCTTCTATATTAGCTAAGTGAGTACTCACTTCATTTCCCACAAATTCTAAAGTCAAATTTCATGAGAAATGAATAAGGTAGTTAAAAAGAATTAAAGCAAAAATCTAAAAGACACCCTGTCATAAAGTCATCTTTGAGTAATTGTGAGTATGTGAAAGCACAGGAGACAAAGAAATTGTTCTGTGTGGGGTTTTTTCTCTAAAATAGAGTACAGGAATTTAGCAAGGCAGAAATTTCAGTTAATATTGATCTTATGAACCTTATCAATCTGCTGCAGATACATTATGGCCATTTCATGCTGTAAGGCAGTTCAAATTTAAATATAACCCTGTAAATTACATTGTATGCATTTCATTTTCAACAATTTCATCAAAATCTGTACAAATATATTTTAGTTTTGTGTGTATCTACTGGAGGTTGAATATTTTCTAAAGGCTCTGCACATTGAGTACATCTTTAATTACTTTGGACAGACACTTCTTCTCAATTTGTGTATTTGTTAAACAGTCTCAGTATACCATCAATCTGGAGACAGTGCTGCATTTTCCTTGTGTACAGGAGAAAATTATAGATATTTTTCAGTTCTCTATTTTATTGTGTTTCCCTGATCCAATGTAACATAGGAAGAAAATAAAGACGGTTACAAGACCACTAACACTTTTCTAGAACTAGGTCACCTTGAGTAAATGAACACAGATGTTTTATGAAATGATCAGCAATCATTCCAGATGTGGACAGTCAGACAGCTTAGGAAACAACACAGTTTGTACTAAGCAGCTTTAATATTGAACACTGAGTCACAGAATACATGCACATACAGAAAATGTGTGACACAAAGCACACCAAGTCATCATTCAGAGAACATATTTGGTTTTTACTGGAAAACCAAACAAAAACAAAATTATAAAAAATAACAGTTGTGTTTCTTATACAATCAACATTTACATATTTTGAGCAGAACTGACAGTAAAAAAAAATGCAACTTCTCAGTTCCAACTTGGTATGCGAAGACAAAATTCAGTACACTCACAAATCAATTGTTTGATCGTTTATTTCTTGACCGTACTTCTCTTTCTCTTTGATCTGTGACGTTAAATAATCTGAACAAATACTCTCCACTGATCTACACCTATCATGTACAACATATAAAGTCTCAGACATACAGACATTCACAATAGTACGAATATTACAAAATAAGGCACAATATTTACAGTCTCAAGCAAAACCTTCAAATCCTGTGAAAATGTTAGTGATCCAGGTTGTCACAGTTTCGATTTTAGGAAGGCTCAGCCTCTCAGTGAAATGTGTACACGTTAGTGTCTATTTGACAGTCTTTGTCCGTAGTGGCTCTGTTGTTCATGACTGAATTAAAAGTGTCTTTATGGCTTCTTTTCACCATACATGATGTTTGAAAAGCTGCGCTCTGACCTCACCTCCTGGTTCCTTCTCTCCTCAGCACCCAGGAGGAAGGTGTAGCACTCACTGTCCATTATTTGCCATACTGTGCCCCTTTCCCCCGTCTTAACCAGTCCCTCCAGGGGGATTGGCTTTTGTCCTGATTAGCGTCTGAACTCCAGGTGGAGGAGGAGGAAGAGGAGGAGGAGGAGGAGGAGGAGGGCTGGCGTGTCCAGGTGGAGGCCGTCCTGCTTGACCTGCGGAAGAAGGACATGCCGTTGGTGGTGGACTTCTTCTGAGGAAGCTCCGACTGCTGCTGGGACCTGAGCTGCTGGTTGATGATGATCTGGATGTCATCCTGAGGAAAGGCGGGGAGGAACAGGAAATGAGCGGGAAGTCTGAGGAGCACAGACTCAGTCTGCTGTCTCATGTTGGAGAACAGCATGTCAACACTGCCCTCACATCATAATCATCTGACAGTATCATATTTAAACACTACTTGATTGTTTATTGTGTTATTATTGTTGCAGTGACCTTTATTGTCACTGCAGATTGGTGTTGCATGCATATATTTTAACATTAACAAGAGTCAATAAATGTATTTTAAATTTTAAACATTTTATAAATACATTTTGTATATTGTGTGCTGACACAGCATCCACACTATTGTTCTTCAGTTCAAAACAGGACTCTTTGGCTTGTATTCAACTTGTTTTTACCTTTTAAACTTTTTAACTTTATTACATTTTTGTTTTTACCATTAAAGTAAGTGGAGAAAGCTTCCAATCCTCTTTAAACTTTCTCTACTTTGAAATGCTAATCCCTCCACATAATTTCAGCTATATACTTTATTGAAACTTTAAAATGTTCACAAGACTTTGGACTATTCAACTTGTATTCAACTTTTTTTTAATCTTTCATACTTTTTGAATTATCACAGCTTAAATGTTGTGCTTTTTAAACTGTTTTTCTGAGTTTATAATGGGGCCTTATGGAGCGGAATGTTCAGAGCTAGAGGGGATGACATCATGGAGTGGAGAGTGAAAAATTATTTTTAACTTGCTCTTACTCCCACAACTTTAACTTCTCATACATAATTTATACACCAAAACATAGACAATTGTGTCCTCTTGCAGTCCATGTAACTACTTAAGCTGTAGGACTTGCAGTTTTTGAAATTTCAGCCTCCAAGCACCAAGAGAGCCCTTCAACTCTCTCATTAACTCTCATGTATTTTGACTCTGACGCTCTTCAGCAGAATCAGAAATGTGAGGACTCTTTAATCTACCATTTCTCTGACATTTGTAACTTTATCCTCACATATTATATATCAAAATCTTTAGCAAATCCTTACGATGCTCATGGTGCAAACAGTTCTCCCTCTGTCTATGCCTTTCACTCTCTCCCTCTCTCTTGAATCCTCTTCAACCTCTTTTAATAATTCCACTTTTAAATACGTTTCTGCATTTCAGCCGTCAGCAGCCCCACTGCACTTTCAGCAGGAAATGCATTTTCTAGGTCTTATTGTCAATAAATCCCATGAAAACACCTGAACCAGCAATGAAGTGATACTACTATATTGCCTGTGTAGCCAAATCTGATACTGTAGCTGTTTCCAAAAACAATCAGTAAGACACAATGTGACATGTTCCTTCAAATAATCACTAGATCACCAAATGTTAAAATAGTTAAAACAGTTGAACTATTTACTCCTGTTTGAGTAATATTTGGTAAAAACCACAGTGCCCAGTTGTTTTAGGAAATTACTGACTTTAAAAAACAACAACAAAACGATATATTTGTGTCATAAGTATAAACTAATAGGTTTAGAGCTAAGAGCCACAGATAGGCTGCAGCCGTAAAGTATTGTGAGATGGACTAACACAGTAGTTCCCAACCATTTTCCTTAGGATTATCATGCTGTAAACTGACAACTGTACATATTTTTATTAAAATCAAAAAGGCCTTGCGACCCCCTTTGAAGCTTTGATGACCCCTTATGGGGATCCCGACACCCAGATTGGGAACCACTGGACTAAAACATTGTTGGTTTGTTCTCTCATGAGATGTGTTGACAATAAAAAAAAAATAGAATATCAACAGCCTCATCCTTTGCTGAGGAGGTTACTTTTACAACCCTGTTTGTGAGTCTTTTAGAGTCTTTTAAAGTAAACTTTATTTCTATAGCAACCAGATTTACAATGTAAATGTAGATTCAGCAGATCTGATACTGAAGCTAAAACAGTAAAACAGCCTGACTGCACTGCAGATCAAAACTGTTTTTGCTGATCCTCTGTCTAACTGATTTGTACATGGCTCGTAAATATTCCTGTAAATTTCTGTATAGTTTTTATTTGTGGACCTACACAGAACGTATTCTTCTTCCATCTGTAAATAAGGAAATGCATTTTTAGATTGTTTGCCTTTGATACCAGTCTATATCTGTATATACAAGACATATGTATTTGTAAAACTCTGTTTATGATTTATTTATGATTTATATTTCTGATCATTATTTTTATTATTATTATCAATAATTATTATTGTTTTCACAAATATTATAATAATTCTGCTTTCAGCCACCAAATGTGATTGAATCAGTGTTTTGGTTTGAATATTATCTGCATTATCTCCATCAAAACACGAGAGATCAGACCCTCCGGCAGATGGCTCGGCTTGGCATAGTGACTCAGCAGCAGAAGGACTCACAGACAGAGACACCTGTCGTTCATATCCCTCCAAACTGACGAGGCTGAGAGAGATATGGCTGCCTTTGTCCTTGACCTCCCACTGAGGACACCAAACTTAAATACAACCGTCTCTTGTCTGGTCAGATTATCACTAAAACTGCAGACAGCGTGCCTCAAACGGTGATTTTTCCGTTATGATGCAGATCTTAAAAGGTGCAAATTAACTGTATTAATGAAGGATTTCATGAAGCAGGAGATCTGTTTACAGATTCCAAGGCAACGTAAGAGATGGTTTAACGACGTTTAGGCTACCGTAGACTGGATGGGAGGACAAAAAGTTCTACAGAGAAAAGGGGACCTCACCTGCCACGCCTCCAGTTCCTGTGACAGCTCCAGTTTACGTTGGATGGCTTCTAATAACTGGTTGTTCAGAGACATCATGTCATTTTTACTTCTCTCCAACTCGGCCTCCATCAGGTTTTTCCTACCAAGAAAAGATGAAACCTCTTCAGTCACATTACAGATAGAAGAAATGTCATGTTCAAACTCATGACTGTGGCTCCAAGAGTAGCTTTCTATAAGAAAATAATTAATTCTGTCTCTCACATACATTCACCTTTATTGATTTTGTTTTCTGAATAATCAACCCAAAATTAGCAGAATTATTTGAGATGAAAGACAACAATAGTTGTTCTTTAAAACAAACGTAAACAAAAAGGAAGGAAGGAACTTAAAGACATCTGAATATATTGGATATTATGATTTGCATTGAAATTATTGAGAAAAATAAATGAGATTCTCACTTGGCTATGGCTTCATCTCGGTCTCTGATGGCCTGTTGGACGACTTCAGCCTGCTCCTGTATGCTCTGCAACTTCTGCCTCAGCTCAGTGTTTTCCTGCTGCAGCTGGACGTTCTGCAGGAGGAAGAAATTAACTGACTGAAGACACTGCTGCTCTGAAGAGGTTTCTGCCTTCCAAGGACTTGCAACAATCATAAAAGTTCCCTTTAAAAATTCTATTTCGTTATGTTTAATCTTTTGATTTCTCTGTACCTTGAGCCATAAACTTTCAAAAAGTTTGAAAAATAGAAATTTTAAATGGAACATTTAACAGGGTTGTTAGTGCTTAGAGGTTTTTTGGACATGAAACGTGCATGTGATTTGCACACTGATTGTTGGACTAAAGCAGTGGTTCTTATTTATAATAAGTACCCACTGACATTTATGGTAGAGGAAAGGCTATATCAAGAGGTTCAATACAGTGTCTGATTTATTAAACATCAACCTTGTTGTAACTCATTAAGATTCATCCCATCAAAGCTTGATTTTCCTGATACTGATGGTATATTTTGGGCCATGTTCTCTTGTGTTTTTCAGCTGTATTGCTGCTACGTTTCAACCACAAATCCATTTTCTTGATTTTTGCCATTCAATATCAAAACTGGCTTCCCACTAACAGTGAACATGATGGCCTTGTATTGCAGTTAACAATTTGAAAATAGGAATATCGAATGTAAAATGTGGTTTATTGAACTTACAGTTACATTTTTTATTGAACTTAATGTAGTGTAATTATTTTTTTAATTATGCATGACTATAAATGTACCCTTAGGCGTGTTTTGAGAAACACTGCACTAATGTGACAAAAGTTAAGTTGCAATTTATCACAAAAAGAAAAATTAAAAACTCTTGGATGTCATTTGTGATTAAAACTAATGCAATGCAAAATGTATGTTTAAATTTAAAGTGAAGCGATGCAATATTATTTATTATTCATCCCAATGAAAGCTGGTAGCAAGCAGTAATTTTGAGGTGAGAAAGAATCAAACATATCTTCAGTAAGAATGCTCTCAAAAGTTACTGAATCTTTTCTGTGACACTAAGATGGATTACAGCGAGGTCAGTACTGACACAACCAAACCCTAAAATAATGGGCCTCTATGGGTGTTCGTTCACCGCTGGGTTACCTGATCTCTCAGCTCCTGTGCTGCTCTCGGATTCCCACACTGATCACCCGTCCTGTCGACAAAAGCGCGATTCAGCTCCTGGGACGGAGACATTAACAAAGAGATCAGGTGTCGGCCGTGCATTTCTCAGAGATTTACACCAGAAGGAGTTTCTGTGGCGTTGGCCTATTTGCACGGAGCTCCGAGGAGAGGAAGGGGAGGGCAGTAATATTTAGTTACAGTGATAAACGCCTGTTACTGGTCTGAATGGAATACAAGCACCATGAGACACAAATGGACAATTGTATATGCTTGCCTGTGGCTAAAAAAGAGACTTAGCAAAGCATGTAAAACCTATAAGTTGCAACAATTCACTGGCATCCATTGCATAAACAAGGACGCACAGTTCCTCGGCATGGTCCAGTGAATCGGTGCTACAGTGGCTCTAACAGCCACTAGAGGGTGGATGTGAGTAAGTGGATGACTATGTGAGTACAGCTAATAAACACCTGTGTTTCTAGCCTTTATCGATCAAGCAAATGTATTCATAAACCTACTGTGTGGCACAAAGGACATATATACTCTATATATTTATATGATAATGATATAAGAGTTATAAACTCTAAAAAGCTACAGTGTAGTGTTCCTGTCTTCCTTTGATTTCAAACAACAATGTCAGCCTTTTGTTTTGCATTTCCTCTAGTATCGCTCACCTGAGGGCTGGATGCCTGTGCCAGGGTTTGGGCCACTCCCTTCAGCTGATGTAGCATGGCTTTCAGGTCCTCCTGTTGATCCACGACCTCTGACCTCCCTGAGCCGTTCAGTTCCTGCGTCAGTGGGAGCAGTAACTGAAGGATAGAGCCCATTTCTTGCTTCATCTAAGCAGAACAGGAGAAGAAGCCTTTATGTTAATTATGACTCTCAAAAGTCCATCCTAACTATTAACTTTATGTTTTCATGGCCAGATATGAGTAGTTTGAAGTGTTGAATAACTCTCACAATAACTGTTATAGCTTGGTGGCTGCTACTGTATGAGTGGCCTACATTAAAAGAGCTAATGTTTCAGATGTTTTAATGAAAAATGACTGATCACTGACTCAAAAACTGGGTCACAAACAAGTATTAAAGTATTTATTTCCCCCTTTCTCCTTTCAGCCTGCCTTATGTTCTCTTTACACCTATTACATCTTGAGTGACATCAAGTATTTACACACTGGGAGGAGCAAGCATTACCTCATCACTTTATTTAACTTCCTTGAGTCAAATATATCACATCATGACACCGATCTCATGATAACTTAAAAGATATCGTAAAAGGCTGATTTTCATACGATGGAAGAGATACTCTATGATATCTTATGATGTAGACACACATGTGTAAACGTGCGCTGAAAGCTGTAAAACGGGGAAACTCTCCTACAATGTGGCTATGACAAACAGGAAATGTGGCGAGTGACTCATGAGTGCAGTTATAAATCTAATTTTCCTGCTGGAACAAAACAATAACAGTAGACACCAGGAGAGTGAGAATTAGAAGATCTGGCCTCACTGTCAGTTTTCCTGTTCCCTCCCAGACATAATTTAGACAACGAGTCTCATCTAATAATTCTTTGTGGCGTCTTCACTTCACTGAAAATCTGTCAAATCGCACCTTCTCCTCGCAGCGTGTATTTGCTTCAAACACGAGTCACAGTGTCACAGAGAACTTGCACAAAATGTTCTGTCAGCATGTTCCTCTCACTACAACAACATGCCTAAAATTCAACTTACAGACGATGTTTCTCTGGTGCTGTCTGTTGTACTGTTTATATATATTATTTATATATGTATTTATATAAGTTTAGAAAAATAATAAGTCTTTATTATTCAACACATTCTTCATTCTGGTCAAACCCAGTGCTTACATGACCCACAATGCAACTGTACCACTGTCAGTTCTGTCTGGGATTCAGGTGTGTTATGCTAGTAGCGGTTAATGTAGTCTCCACGCCTACAGATTTTTTCTATTTTCAAACTTTTCAAACATCACTTAAGGCAATTTATCACACTTGACAGAGCAGAGCTTCCTCTGCAGCCACTTAAGGCTTTATACACATATATTTCGACGTATGCAGTAGTACTCCCTTTGATGAGTTCCCTTTTACCGTTAATACCCTTTTTCTTAATTCCCAAATGAGTCCGATTGAATGAGGATCATTTCAGATGCACAATGTTAAAAACACTGAAGTCTGACTGTGTAATCTGCTCCAGTCCTGCTTCTTCAGTACCTCGTCTTTGCTGCATCCCAGCTCTGCCATCTCCAGGCTGCTCTCCAGCTCGGACAACAGGGAGGCGTCTCCGTGACTCCTGGCTTCCTGCAGGGAGACCTCCTCCTGAAGCTCCTCCACCTGGACCTGCAGCTGCTGCGAGCGACCCCGCGCCGCCTCCACCTCCTGCCACGCCTCAGCTAGCTGAAAATACAAGGAGGTACACACCAGAGTTATTATAGTTTTGTAATTTTAAATCATTTTTGTTTTCAGTTGAGTTTAGTTTCAGTTTCCAGAATGGGTGTTGCTGGTTTCAGTTTACGTTTTATTGTTTAAAAATGTTTAGTTTTAGTTTAGTTTTTATTAGTTTCAGTATTATAGTTTTGTTTTGTTTTTTTGTCAGGGGCAAGACTTAAGAAGAAAAGCTCAGATGAAGAGATCTCAGTCTCCATAAACACCACCGCCTCCTCATGTTGTTGTGTTGACAAAACTCACAAAGAATAAAACTAAAGACATTTCCTCTAGCTTATATTCCCCTTTTATTTTAGTTAGTTTTAGTTTTTTTCTAAAGTCTAGTTTTTAATTTTTATTTCCGTTTGAAAATACCCAGTTTTTTCCCACATAGTTTCAGTTTTTAGTTCAGTTGTAGTTAACTGTAATAACCTTGGTACTCATGCATGAACACACCCGCAGGCACAAATGTGAGTCTGAGGTTAACAACAAGTACAACATATGATATAGATTATGATAAAACAACATTATGAATCCTCAGATTCTACTGATGGTAAACAGAGAGAGATGAACACGATAACACAAAAGTAATTTTACCCAAGATCATGTGAGCTTTTTAAAATGAGACACATGAGACATGTGTCATGAGACACTCGTGTAAATATTTCCACTAACGCTCAGTGCGAGAAAAATCCTGACGTGCTAGATTCCAGCCTGCGGCCCAACATGAAACTGAACGAACAAGAGTGGAATCCAGAATTGCGGGTGAAAGTTACAATGACGGGGATGAGGTGATTGTTTAGCAATGCTTTCCACAATCCCGTCGAAACCCAGGCCGCTAGGCAGGGAGCAGAAAATCCCTTTGTTATTGAGGTTCTTTCATTCATACACCACCCGCTCTGAGCTGCTTTGTGCTGCCTTGTCCGCGTGTGTTTCAGCACAAGTGTGTAATGTATTTGTATATGTACCTGCTGGCTCTGCTGCTGGTTCAGTTGGTCATGCAGAGCCAGACGTGTGTGTAAGGAGGCCAAAGTTGCCCTCAGCTCAGTGTTTTCTTGACACACAGTCTCCAAACGCTCCTCCAGCACCTGTTCCTTCTGGGTGAGACGCAGCGCCTGAAAAACACACACAAACATCTTAAATATGACCCAAAAAAAGTTTTTTATATTCTTACTTACTCTCACTATTCCCTTGCATCATACCTCCTAAATCCACCTGTGAGTGTTTTTCTCTGTTGAAAGTGTAAAAATGAAGCAGGTACTTTATTTCCTTTAATGTGGGAATGTTTGTTTCTCTATTTTGGAAACGAGTAACAAAAAGTATTGAAGAGCCAGAAACCATTTGCCAGAATCTCCCCAGTTGTGTTTATTAGGAGACAGCTCTCTTCTACCACCAGGTATATCCAAACAAGAATTTGGGCTTGCATTGCCTTTACTGATACACAAAGGAAGAGTCAGACAAAGCCTGATTTTGCTGTTAAAATGAATGATGGATGTTTTGAATATTTAATAATCATCAAGGGAGGGTTTGTGAAGTTTGGTCTCATTGTTTAAATTAATATAAAGATAAAAACATAATAGCAAGTAAAAATATATATTTTATTGTGAAAATGTGCTGCCCCATCTTTACGCTGTATTTATGCTGTACTTTCATCTTTAATTTGAATGTTTTTTTATCTTGTTTTTTTTCTATTGGCTTCTTTTGTATATTCAGGTTTGCACCTGTTTGCTTCGGAATCGAAGACCCTTTTATTGCTTTATAAAGCTCTGAATGGTCTCAGTCCTATTTATTAAAGCCTATGAACCCTCATCTGACCTTTGTTTGTATGAAAAGTGCTGTACAAAAGTGTGATTGATTCTGTTTCTTCTGTTCTTCAGTGTTTTATTGTCTTTATTCTTGTGTTGCATTGTGTTCTTTCTGTATTGGAAAAGTTAACTAACAAAACTGAAACACAGAAACCTTCAGCCAAAAGTTAATGACAGTATAACGAAGTGAATGCAACAAGAAAAATGAACTGGTAAATGCCAACAGCCTTGGTGCAGTGTGTGAGTCTGTGTGAGTACACGATGCAACATTTAGGCTTAGCTCTGGTTTTAGCATTTCGAGGTACACAGTGTGTGTGTTTTGTGCTTGGTAGTTACCTGCTCCCTCATGGCACTGATAAGCTCCTCATCCTGCGGCCTGTTGTGGCTTCCTTTTTGTTGGAGCTCCTCTTTCAGAGCCTGCAGCTCACTGGACATGGCTCTCTCCACCTCCATCGCCTACACACACAAACACACACCAGAGAGAAATCACACACACGAGATTCACAAATGGAGTAAAAAAAAAAAAAAAAAAAAAAAGCATTTGAATTTCAAGGACAGTCTTCTTTAGTGCATTTTATTTAGACTTGAGGGGGGGGGGGTTACAGTGAGTTAGAGCTAGAAACCAAACTATTTAAAAGAAGAGTAGAATCATACGTTTGCATCAGTCAACTTGAAACTCCAAAACAAAGCTCGCCTGAGGCCTGAGCTTTAAGAGAGCCGAGACCACAATCTTGAATCTAAAAATAACCAAACATACAGCAGGAGGTGAAATCCTGTAATCTAGACCCAGAGGAGAAGGAGCATACTATGATACCTGCCTGAAAGGTGGGGATTAGATGACTAAAATTAAACATCTGTTGCTGCAGCCCTTGCAGCACAAGGAGAATAAGAGATGGTTTTCTTTACTGTCCTTTGAAGAACTGCTTATGGTTACATTATGTTCCCAAGCTCCCAGCGGGGTCTATAAAAAAAATCTGAGTCTCACAAGATGATTAAAGGGAGGACAAAACTGTGTTCATTTTTTTTTACAACTTTTTAGCTTTTTGCTTGAAATACGGATATATTACCACCACCTCAGACCTTTAAAAGTCCGTCAGATAAAATTATCTGGGAAGAAAATCTGTTCATACGTCCTCACATAATCTAAGATGTGGCTTCACAATACATATTGGCTTATTTTAAAAAGATACCCTGGAGAGTTTTTGACCTTGTAGTGCTATAGAACAACGTTTTTTACAAGTGGGTCATTGTTTTGTTTTGTTTTTGTATCACAGGCAACTTCACGCAGCAACACAATGCACAATCTTGCTGATGGCTTCAAGCTCTTCAACTGTAATGAGCCAGAATCGTGGCAATGTGCCATCTAGCTATATAGCTAGAAAACATGGACCTAAACAATAAGACTTAAAGGTCCAGTGTATAACATTGAGGAGGATCTATTGGCACAAATGCAATATAATATTCATAAGTGTATTTTCATATAATCACCTGAAAATAAGAATTATTATGTTTTTGTTACCACAGAATGAGTCTTTTATATCTACAGACACTGCGGGTCGCCTTCCATGGAGCCCACTTCTGTAACCGAACAAGAAGCAACACGAGTCCAGTGATCACTCATCCATCAAAAGCACAGAAGACATCAGCCAATCACTGGATTTCTCGTTTATGTTGTCATGTCTATCAAACATAAGATGATTTTGAAACTCTAACAAACTAAACAAAACTCCTTTGGCCTGCTGTTGGCACCAGTTCTGAAGCCCCAGTGAACACACCAACCAGTCGCCCTCCCAATCCCCCCAGACCCCCGTTCTACAGTTCCCCTTACTCAGCAGTTTGGCGGGCCCCTGTCAGGTCCCATCACAACCACATAATACAAGATGAAAGGCCGGCCTCCGTGGCAGATGGAGCAGAGGGCATCTTGGTCTTGTCTGTGACATCATCATGCCACATTAGACAACAATGTGGCAGAGGGTAAACTTGGACATCACGAGGATGAAGCGGAGGGGGACAGCTTGTGTGTGTGTGTGTGTGTGTGTGTGTGTGTGTTCGAAGGAGCTCACAGAGGAAGTGAGGCAGGCGTGAGGGCTAAATTAGTGGGAAGTGTGTGTGTGACAAGAGTAAAGCCGGCACTGATGGACAAAAACAAAACCTAGCATGCAGACACACTATGAGGAGAAGAGGGGTGGGGGGTGAACGTTCGCCTCCATGAGTCGTCGTTACTGCTGCCTCGTCTCGTCAACACGGGCCCCTTCCACAATAGAGGCAGCGACCCACTGAGAATCACCAAAACAGGAGTGGAAGGAGGACGCTCCATTTGGTAGAGACACAAAGATGATATCCCCTCACACGGCCCCCCAAGCCTCAGGCCTTCACCAACCCAAACACTGAGGTATCTAACAGCTGACTACCCAAGCTGCAGCCGAGCCCCTTGGGGAGTGCGCAGAAAGGACGGCTCTCCCCTGGGATGATGGGATGTTTGGGTATGAGGGGCGACATCAAAGGAGCAAATGAAAGATTTATATCTCTCCCCAATGTATATTGTCTTTGCCTTTTTGTCTGTGAGCTGCGTGATGCTGGTAGAGGGTAGCAAAGGTCATGGGGTATCGCCTCAATTCAGGCATCTCCTTTTACAATAACGGAAATCTACAGTCAGGGATTTGTCATGGCCGTCCAATAACACACCGCGTTCCACGGCCAGGGAAGGAGATCATGTGACGCTGGGTGGGAAGCAGGAGGTGGAAATGTAACAGAGGAAAGACCAAATCACCAAATAGCTCGTTAACACCCAGTCTGCACTTACTGATAAAAAAAACTTACTGATTTTGGGTGGACAAAAAATTGATTCATCTGCCTATTCTTTTTTTGAATGAATCAATCATTTAGAGGAGGGTCTTAAACTCAAACTGGCTTGGGGCCACAGCTGGTAATGTCATTTCATAGGAGGTCCACTTCAACATTCAAGTGCTATAAGAAAGCGCAATATTCAGAAAATATTACCATTACCAATGTAATACTTAACAAAATAAATGCAAACAGCAGGTTCTATACAAATTATATCTTAATTTTAAATATACATCTTAACAGCAACAACTGAGGGCCTGAAATGTGTTCTTATCAACCAAAGGGGTCACTGTGGGGTTGTGAGAAATTATAAGAGGCATGTTTCACCATTTTCTGACATTTTCGGACAAAATAATGAATCAAGACAATAACTGTCAGACTTCTCTAAAGGGTTGCAGCCTGAAGAAAATGTGAGAAAACACCCATCACAGTTTCTCAGAATTCTGACAAAAAGTCCAAAACCTCCAAACATTCAGTTCACTATCAGGTTTCAACAATAAGGCATTAAATCATCACATTTAAGAAGCTGAAGCCAGCAAGGTTTTGGTAGTTTTGCTTGAAATGATGCCTAATGATTTATTTATTTATCTTTCTGCTCTGTGTCGAGTGTTTGCTAATCTGGCTTTAATATCACACTTTTGGAAAGTCTAGTTATCGATACTCTTATTGAAGAACTGTGATCATTCAGATTCAATATTGACTGTAGCATATTGAATCAGAGTAGCTAGTGTAAACATAAATTACAATAACCAAAACTGTGCATGACTAATGGTTAAACTGAGTCCAAACCAATGTCCTGAACTTGTGTTTTTTGATTTCTGCCCAAGAAACAGACTGAATATTATCAGTATTTCCAGCTTATCATCCGATAATCAAACTCCCTTTCCAGTCAGGCATTTCTTTCAGTAGAAGTGTTTGTATGGCAAATTTCTAACACACTGATAATTTCCTTGCACAAGAGTCAAACTAAACTGATCTTTCCTTCGGTGGAAATCAGTCATAACCTGCTGGTTCTTCAGACTTAATCCATCTCCTTGTTAAACATTAACAATGAGAAAAAAGACAAACTCATTAGCGTTCTCATATTGTCTTTTAGTTGCAGGAACGATGATATTTGCAATGTAATCAGAAGAAAAACACCCTGACATCACTCAACACTCCCTGATATTGTAACACCTACTTTTCCTACAACTGTCTAAACAGTCAGCCCTGAACCATGTGACGACCTGGCACACAACAACATTGTTTTTACGCGGCCGCTTCCTCAAATGCACCAGCATGGAGAGTCACAGCAAATCTTTCCTCTCTTTGCTTTGCTGTTGGTGGTAAGCGTGATGAATTCTTTTTCTCTCTCAGGTTTCTGTGGTGCGATACAGACAGCCCTCCTCCAGATTCCTGTCATACTCTGGTTACACTCTCACAATCAGGATATAGTGTTTCAAGGTCTTAGAAACCTGCTGGAGCTTCATTATGTGTACACTCACTGTCTATAAGAGACAGACTTTTTTTAACGAGTGAGAATGACTACCTGCCTCCTATGACAGACATTTTTTGAGACACATTTTAGAGGGGAAAAACTAACCAATTAACAATATGGCGGCCGATATAGTGAATTTTTGAGCTGGAACAGACAATTTTTTGGCTATGCAAAGGTACTCACAACATTTTGTTAAGAAAAAAATGGCAAATATTGTCCAAATTCGTATATTTACTGGCTTTCTTAGATAGCAAACTGAATATCTTTGGGTTTTGTGCTGTTGGTCGGACAAATCAAGACATTTGGAGACGTCCCCTTGAGCTCTATAGGAACTTGTGACTTTCTCACTGCTGACCTACTGAAGCCCGATCAGGACACAGAACGAAATGCCCTGCTCCAGCTGTAACTGTGGGAGCGCCTGTATAAACACACATAATGACACACATACAGACACAACTCACCACAGCAGGCAGTGGCACAACAGACACGACAGCACCCTTCACCACGTTAGACATTGAGCTTCTTCACACTTTCTCCAACACATTCGCTCTCTCTTCCTCTGGCTTTTACAACCACACAGAGTCCAGAGTTACCCATGTCGGATGCTGGGAAGCCAAATTAAACATTTTTCCAGCTTCCTCCTCCTCGAACAGCCCAAACTGAGATAGCACCTTTTATCTAAATTGACTTTTTCCTGAACTTCTAGGGAGTCTGCCTTCCTCAGTAAGTCCCTCAGCCTGGCTGAAGAGGGGGAAAGACATTCACAGTTCCTGATTCTGCGGACCTTGACTCATGAGGGGGAGGAGGTGGATTCATTTTTAACTTTGCAAACTCAGGTTTTAATTTTTTAAACAACACAAGGAGCTGCTCTACTAAGTAATCAGTCATCTGTAACGTAACAGCGTCATGTTTAGTAAAACATTTCTTACTTTCTCAGGCTGGAAAAGTACTCAAGGTTGTCCAGCTGTGTGATCCAATCAGATCCTCCATGTTAACTGATAAGAGGCTGTAAAATATGTCATCGGTTTGATTTCCCTCCCAGTGTACATGTCTTCCTTAGGATCAAACACTGAACATCATAAATATTATATAAGTATAGTACAGATGAGTCAGCCCTATGCCGTCAGTTATTGTGTCCATTACGTCATTCAAGTATCTACATGACTAACGTTATGTGTCTAAATAACACTGGATCTAGTTAAATAGATTATAAAATATCTCACATCTCATATTCAATGAAGCTAAATGGATTCATGGTTATGAAACTAACTGTTCAGAAAAACACAGTTTGCTAAAGCTCAAGGTGAACTATTTCAACCAACAGTAAAAAAGAAAACCTAAAGATATTCAATTCACAATGATACAAAACAAGAGAAAGCAGAAAATGCTCACATTGGAGAAGTTCCTGCATTTTTGCTCAGAAACAATTAATTAGTGTACACTTACAGAATTATTTTCTCATGGTCAGCTAATTTGTAAGAAAATCGATAAATTGTTTCAGCTCTATTCTCAGAAAATTCTCATAAATTCTAATAAACATAAACGTCTTCCAGGACTTTTCTACAAGTCCTCCCTCTGTCCCAGATCTAAAATCAAATCATGGCACTCACTTCTACTCCCCCTTTTGTTTACATATCATTTCCATTCTGCTCCAAACTGGCAAGGATCATTTGCCTGTAGCCAACAACCCAGACTTTCTTTCATAGCTACTGCCTCTCTCCTGCTCAGATGAAAAACTTTCTTTCAATTTTTAATCAGAACTTGTATGTGAAAGCATTTTGCCATGGCCTTGCTCCATAAAGTCTATAAACAGCCTGAGAGTCTGGCCTTGCTTTAGAGCAGATGTGTCAGACTTGACACCTGAGTGGTTTGCAAAGAACATTGAGTTTCAGCACGCGGATTGGGTGACAGACCTTCTTATCTAGTTGGACTCAGACCAGCTGCTTTGGATCCACAGCTCAGGTGTTTGTTTCACGGTAGCTCGGTTACCTTTATTTGATCGCAGCTCTATCAGTTCATGAGATGCAGACATTAATTCAAACCTATCTGCCTGTGGGGACTCACCGTGTTGAGCTGCTCCCTGAGTCTCTGAGACTGCTCGCTGTGCTCTAGCTCAGCCCGACTCTTGTCCCTCTCGGCCTCGCTGAGGGCCAAGGTCAGCCGCTCCACCTGGGCGCTCAGCTCCCTCACATCCCTCTCCAGGTCCCCCACTTGGCTCTCCCACTGGGACTGGCAGCCCTCCAGCTTCTGCCGCAGCTCATGCCTGCCCTGCTCCAGCTCCTGCACAGGAGTTGAAAGATTAATGTCAGTCATAATTTCTACATTTATACAATCCATTGGTTTGAGATTGCTTAGAAATGCCTTATCACCAACAGGTTGTTACACTATTGACGTTTTATTTCGAAAAAGGAGTTTCAGTTTTCAGTTTTCTTTGCACCTTACCTACCTATTTATCTTTTTTATCTTTCTATCTACGTATTTTATTCTATTGTTGTATTTTATTCTATTGTATTTTATTGTATTTTAATGTACCTGGCTGCTATGACGACCCAAACCCCTCTGAGGATTAATAAAGTCTATCTATCTATCTATCTATCTATCTATCTATCTATCTATCTATCTATCTATCTATCTATCTATCTATCTATCTATCTATCTATCAGTTACGAAATGTACCAACAAGCCTCATTCAGAGCTGTAAAGGATCATGGGAAATGTATAACAGCAGGAATCTGGATGAAAATGGTGTATCTGGGGTTGCACTGAGAATTTATAGTATTTATGTCCTAAATATCAGTCAATGTGTTGCAGATTAAGACAGAAACATAATCTACAAATAATTTGATAACTGATTAATAGTTTGAGTCATCTCAATTGTAAGGATTCTCTCTTTGTTTTTGTCTAGTGTGACAGTAAAAAAGATCTTTAAATCTAAAATCTTGAGCTTAAGGAAATGTTTTTTTTTAATCAAATTAATTAATTGACAAAGTCATCAAAACATTAATCCATAATTAAAGTATGAATTGCTGCCTTTTAATATGTATCTCTTGCAGATTATGTCAGTATCTCACTCTTGCCACATCTTTATCTTTGCACTTTGTAAAGTTCTTGTCACATAACACCATGTCTTAGTTTTGCCCCGACTCTGTGATTTAAGACACAGATCCACCTGATAAGATTAAAGATTGAACATCTGAAGGAGACATCAGCATTCACCCTGAGAAGAGTAATGAGGCCATTATTCAGTCTGTCGTCGGGAGTGAGACAAACGCCTGTGAAACCTCATTTCACCTGCTGCCTCTTTGCTGTAAAGTTGGATTTATTTATTGTTTTGTAGACATGTATTAAATGTGGAGAATCATCACTAAGTCACACACAGACACTGTGACCAAAATTCATACAGTTTCGAATTTTATTTAGTTTTTAATTTTAGTTTTAGTTTTAGTTAGTTTCCAGAGTGGTTTTGTTCGTTTCAGTTTAATTTTTATCACTTTCAGTATTAGTTTGTTGTTTATTATAATATCTGGGGTTATTGTAAGAAGTTCAGAACAGGTATTACAATACAAACAGTGTCATGTAGACATCCCAGTCTCAATATGCACCAATGCCTCTTCATACTTATGTTGACAAATTTGACCAAATTGAGAAAGTCTCAAAACTAAGACATATATTCCAGTTAGTTTTCTAAAGTCTAGTTTTTATTTTTATGTCAGCTGACTAGTTCTTAATTTAGTTTTAGCTAAATGTGATAAACCTGACTGCAGTTCTCCACTTGTATTAACTGCTGATGTCTCATTAGGAGCTGGAGGTTTTGATTCTACAGCAGCAAGCTGCCCACTTCGTTCCCAACCTGTGAAGATTGCCAGAGAAACATTTAAGCTGGAAATGCTTTTGTAGTCGCTGGAACAACACAAGAGCGAGAGACAGTACAATGAGAGCACAGAGGCATGAACCCACCATGAACACTAACTGACCCTTCTGCCTGTTTACACCACAGTATGTGAATGACAGCTGCTTTGGTAATAATACAAAAGATTCCCCATAAATATCTAATATAATGATTATTAGATTTACAATGTAGTTTGTAATAAATGTAATAATGTAGAGTCTGATCTGTATGATTGTACTATTGTACTGTATACATTGCTCTCTATTATCACAGTTACAACTGGGTGTATTTGTCATATATTTACCATATAGCTGAATGAAAACACTCTTATCTCTATGCTCAGTATACAAAACAAACAGTGGAGTATATTCACGACACTGGATTAAATGTGTTCCCACAGTCTGATATTGAGCGTTATAATTTCAGAGTTTACATGAAAACAAAAGGAAACTTCATTTCATTTCCACCCGCCCGCTTGCAACCTCAGCAGCAACACGTCGTCAACCCTTTTTCAAACCACATATTAACCCTCAGAGCTTCATTACACACTATAATGTACAACCATCCTCTGTATAATAAGAGTTTACAGATGGGTTACTTACCTCCAGCTTGTCTGCGTATTGTTCATGAAGTTTGTCGCTCTGATCTTTGAGCTGACGGTTTTCCAGGAGCAATGCGTTTCCCAGCTGGGCTGCCAAAATAACCTCTTCCTCCTTTTGTTTCAAAGCAGCCAGAAGTTCACTGGGGTCTTGATAATCTGTTATTTCCTCCGCTCCATAGTCGAAGTAGAAATCCTCCTCCAGGTCCATGCTCTTGGATTTGAAGCTCCATTCATCAAGTCGATCCATAACCGAGAGTTAACTCAAACCTCCTGAATAAATAAATAAACAAATAGTGTGTGTTTGTTTTTAAAGTAAACTCTGGATTAGTGGCATATATGTGTGAATAAGATCCATAATTGAGAGCTGCTGCTGCTGCTGCTCTCTCTCTCTCTCTCTTTCTCTCTCTCTCTCTCTCTCTCTCAGTGGGTGCAGTTGAGTGTCTGAGCTACACAGTGAAAGTGGGCCGGTCCGTCTGTCAGCTGCAGATGACTGTCTGTCTCCAGGGGGAGTTTCCTCCAGTCACCTGAGCAACTGTTACCATCCCACTGTCAATAATAAGCACACAGACACCTGTCCTCATCATCCAGGGCTCACCATCTGCTTTATGATGGGAAAAAATGACACTGAGTGAGCATAGCAACGCCTGTGTGATCGGATTAAATGCAATAAATGTGTAGCTGGTAGTGTTCACACATCAGGACAAACTGCCGAAGAATAAAGAATAAAACATTTAATGTATGACTGCTGTGTCTAATTTTAGAGTCCTTATAGTAGATGAGCCATTTCAGGATGTCTATGAATCTAAAGTATGAGCTCTATCTCTCTCTTTCTGTCTGTCTATCTGAGAAAAACACTATATATATATATATATATATATATATATATATATATTCATACTGGAAAACTTCATTCAAATGCCTGAGGTAGCCTACAAGTAATATCATCGTCCATTGTTTTCTGTATCAAATCAGTCACGCAAGCAAGCGTGAATGTGTCTTGTGTCACCTCAGTACATCAGAACAAAACACTGTATTTTATTATTATTATTATAAATTTACAGCTTAATTTTACTGTTTGGAGTTAAATGTTTGTTAGAGAGTGAGTATAACTTCTTCATTCATCTTCAATATTGGATATTCATAACATTTTTCAGTATTTAATTAGCTGTATTAACCACTCCTGTCTGGTTATTAACAGATTCTCAATGGATTTATATAGAATTTATTATATAACAATATTGATATTGTGCAATTTCATATACCGTGATAGAGAAATATACTCCACCCTTATTCATTGCACACTCAATACAGCACACAATAAAACTTGCCTTGACTTGAAGAAAAATATGATACATTTCGGACACTGCACTGTTTACATGATCTTTTGGATGCCCAGAATATATGTTGTACATGATATTTTGCAGTATGGTGGTGAATAATCCTAACAGAAGACCACTGCTCCAGTCACCTGTCCACCCAACAAGTGCTCAACAAGTCCTCCACATGATCAGGGCTGCTGAGCAGAGGGGAGTCTCGGCCTGCTTTGTCTGGCCGCTTGCCAAAGGTCATAGTTCAGCTCCCCATAAGATTTCATGGAGCAGGGGGCAGTGTCAGGGGAATAAAAGATGAAGCATCCTGAAGGCTTTTTTGTTGTTGTTTGGGGGGGGGGCAGAGTCTGTACATATTGCAGCAGGGACCACGCAAACGTAGAAGTTGTGATGAACACCACCACTGTCTCCATTGTTCCTGCTCAGTTTATTGGCTGCTAATGGAGAGGCTTGTGCCGTAAGCGTGACAACCATGAGGCCTGTTGTGCAGTCTAAGAAGGACACATGTGCACGCAGAGTCAGCCACAACAACACACTCCTGAGCTAATGAAGCAGGTATGTTTGTCTCCCTGAGCAAGTGTGCGTATAGTCTTGTTAGGTGTTAGGCAAAAGAGAAATACAAATGACACCTTTTTCTACTAAGTCAGACCACAGAGGACTTTCCAACTCTGCTCCCAGAGTGATGCCACCACTTAAGATCAAGGTTTTTGTGCTGTAAGAGCTTCTGTAGAAATTGATTTGAAGCTACCCAAGCAGAGCCGACAACACATAAAAGCCTGGTTGATGTTTTAAATCAAAGAATCAAGTGCTGACGACAATAATGCTGTGTATATAACACTGTCTGTGTGTGCAAGCACCTCTACTGAAGCAAACTTTAGCTGCACTGCCTGCATCAGCAAGACGGTGCTGAGAGTGCTGAGTGTGCCAAATTATACTCAGAGTAAAGGGCACATATACTGATCATAATGAAGATGAGGAGAATACTGTAGCAGAGCCAAAACATGGTGAGTTATACTATATATCAGGAGTTTCTTAAAGATCACTGGTCACTGGACATGAACACTTTGCTGAGCTCTCACTACATAATATAGATTAAAAGGAGGGAGTGTTTGGATTTCCTTTGTTTAAAGCCCCAATCATTATATCCATCTCTGAAAGTGTTGGAATAAGTATTTAGATCCTTAATCCTAATTAAGTAAAAGGATTTAAGGTATCAAAAGTAAAAGTACCCAGTCAGTGTTTTACTTTTCTATATATGATGTTTTTGGGATTAATATTACTGCTACATTAATGTGTATGTTACATTTTACTGCTGTAGATGTTTAAGGTTGAGCTCATTTGAACAAATTTATATACTATTGGGTAGTTTAATTCAAGGGATTCTAAACTTTTCATTTCAGGGACAAACTACACACAAATTAGGCCACTGAAGCCCAATTTGAGAGGATTTTTGTCTGAGTTATTTTAATATTTTTTAAGGTTATAAAGTCGTCAAAGTCAATCAGGGATCAAGTTGGGATGAATATACATTACAATCAATAAAAACGTCCAACTCTATATCTTCCCGTGTTGTTCCAACTCCCAAAAAAATTGATAACAGTTCAAATGTTATATAAGATAAGATAAGATAATCCTTTATTATCCCACAATGGGGAAATTTGGTTTGTTACAGCAGCAACGGATAGCACAAAGAAGAACAAACATCAGGGAAATAAAGAAACTAAAGTAAATTGTATATATTGCAGAGAGATAGAACATATTGATGAAATATTATTCCACCTTCCATCCCCTACAACTTACTCAAGGACCCCTGTTGGACCCCAGACCTCAGTCTGAAAAAACACTGATTTAATCTACAGCAATGTATCATATTCTACAGGATCATCATATGTTTGTAGTGCTGCTTCCTGCATGAGTTAAAAAGTTAAACACATTTCGTGAGATCAGAAACACGGCCCTGTTTCCAGTTTCGTGATGATTCATTTTCCAGATAATCCAAGAGGGTTTATTTATCTCTTCAGACATAGGCAAATGTTCTCAACCCAGAAAGAGAACATTTAATCTTTCAGTTAATCAGTTTATCACATTGAAGATACGAGGATTTCACTGGACAGGAAGCGTGTGAAAAACTGTGATCTGGAAATAAGGCTGTCAGACAAATGTAGTGAAATGTACAATATTTGCCTCTGAGAACAGTAGGAGTATAAAGATACATAAACTGTAAATAGTAATTAAATACAACATTTAAGTAAATGTAATTTTTATTTTCCACTTTTAAAGGCAGTAACACTAGTACTATTTTATCATCAGCTAACTATGGAGTCCATTACAGACCTCTAGTGCCTCCTAGTGGACAAAGATGTAAAACACATCCCTTTCTTTCTCAAGTAGTTGAGTGATAAAAAAGTGGTAAAGTAAAGAAACTGTGAGACATATACAGAATTAGTCTAGAAAATGACAATAAAGAGGCATTCAGGGGGAAGGAGAGGGTAGTTATTATCACAGACACTTAATAATATTAGACTTTTCTTTATATGTCATACTTGTAGAGTCAGTGATATCTTTAAAATCACCAAAAGTAAAGGTATCCATTCTAGCATATTTCAGAATAATGTATAATATATTATTGGACTATAATTATTGATGCCTAAGTGTATATGCTACATCACTGTAATGTTAAAGGGTAAAGGTTGGGCCAAGTTTAAGTAGTAGTAAATAAAAAGCTTTTTATTAATGGTAGCACACTATTTGAACATTGTATGACTAAACTGCATAATAACAACAACAACAACAACAATAATAATAATAATAATAATAATAATAATAAGAAGAAGAAGAAGAAGAAGAAGAAGAAGAAGAAGAAGAAGAAGAAGAAGAATGATGTCTTTATTTTACTTTATATATCATTGTTTAATGAATTATTTCAAGTATAGAAAGTATTGTAGTATTGTTCAGTGGTGGAAAGTTAAAGTAAATATACTCAGATACTGCACTTCAGTATATATATATATATATATATATATATATATATATATATATATATATATATATATATATATTGGAATATCTATGACACTATATTTCAGCAAAAAGGCAAATGTTGTTCTTTTAGTATATAAAATAACTTACTTACGTTTGGCCCAACCTTTCCTAACATTAAAGATATGTAGCATATACACTTAGGCATCAATAATTATAATCTAATAAAATATTAAACATTATTCTGAAATGGACTAGAATAAACACCTTTATAAATACCTTTATAAATACCTTTATAGACACCTTTATAAACACCTTTATAAATACCTTTATAAATACCTTTATAAACACCTTTATAAATACCTTTATAGACACCTTTATAAACACCTTTATAAATACCTTTATAAATACCTTTATAAACACCTTTATAAATACCTTTATAAACACCTTTATAAATACCTTTATAAATACCTTTATAAACACCTTTATAAATACCTTTATAAACACCTTTATAAATACCTTTATAGACACTTTTATAGACACCTTTATAAACACCTTTATAAATACCTTTATAGACACCTTTATAAATACCTTTATAAATACCTTTATAAATACCTTTATAAATACCTTTATAAACACCTTTATAAACACCTTTACCTTTGGTACTTTGATGAACTTAATAAAGAGCCTGTGCAGACTCCGGCCAGCAGGGGGCGGTGTGTGACCAACCACGAACACTGTAAAAAGAGGAAGCACAAATTGAAAACACACTTGAACTTTTATTAGCAGGCTAGAGCTGGCTTACTGTACCAGATATATGTGTGTGTATATATATAGTTGTTTACCTTTATAGTGACAATGCAGAGGGAAGTAGGCACAGTTTCAGCGGTTCAAGCTCTAGGGTGGGTAACGTTCAACTGACGTAATGTTGTTGTTTACTGCGCACTCAGATTCTGTCATGTGTTGTTATAGCAACAAAGCTAAAGTTAGGTTCCAGGCTCTAGTGATTCATGAGCGTTTCATTAGCGGGATCTAACTAAATGTGTGATTCAGTATCAGTATTGTGGCCTTTATAGTGTATGAGGACGCTAGCCGAGCCGCGGCAGGTAATTTCACCTGTCGTCTTTACTTCCTGTTCAGGTATCCGGGCGGCTCGTGCCTCACACGGTGTAAATGTGACGAACTTCCCTGTCCGCTGCTCACGTGGCTGACCGCAGAGCTCAGGGTGGTCTGTCCGGAGCTACGAGGTTTTTATTACACGTCTTTAAGAGAAGTACACAGAATTATATACACATCTGGTTAGGGTCTTTTAATTAGTTTGAGCTTTTTACATTTATTATTCTTCAGAGAACCTAAAATCTATTCCAACTGTGTAAATACAATCTAATCTTTGAGTTCCTCAGGTTTATTATTAGTTACAGTTTATTGTCTGTATCCTGAATAAAGTATCTAGCTATCTATCTCTTGTCTCTTGTTTCAAACTACCTTAAATATGTATTTGATATTTCTCAACTGCAGTTTCTTTCTGTTCATTAGCCAACATATATACTGAGTGGATACCAATAAACAATATCTGCAATAGGCTAATATTAACTAAAGTGAATTAGTTCAATATATCAATGTACCTCTAATAGAAAATGGAAAAATATTGTTGCAGGGAGGAAGGATTAAGGAATTTAAATTGTCTTGTCTTTCCTTCTTTTCTTTCTTTTTGTAGACTCAAACAGCACCGGTGATGTCTTGTTGGTGGGAGAGCTGAGAAGTTTACTGTCAAACATGTCCTCTCCCCTCACTGTGCTGACCTCAGAGGTGCTGGAGCCGTCCACCCTCAACAAAGTCACTGGTGAGAAATGATAGGAGTCCACTGGGTTCTGTTGTAAAGTTGTGTTTAAGGTAATAGCAGATCACTGTAGTGCCCAAGGACTTGTACATTCCCCGCCCTACTTATTAAATGAGGGGGTCTTAAAAGTTTTGTTCGATCTTTTAGAGTTCCTCGTATCAGAATTGGAAGCAGCTCGCATAATCAGGCATAAAGAACTGCATCCTGAGGAGAAGACGGCAGAAGAGGAGTCTGAAAAAGAGCAGCGAGTTGAAGCTCACAGCCAGGAACTCGCTGAGGAATATGAAGATGAGGTTGCTGACAAAGACAGAAGGAAGGCGGAGATGCAGGCAGAATGGATATTACTGCTGCACGCTCTTGACATGGACGCCTCCTCTCAGTTTAAAGACGTGCTGAGTGAGGTAAGTGTGATAGAAGAGAGACAGCGCTATGTAACGACTACAAACTGAGAAGCACTGACAGGAGTTTTTGAATGTTATTTTAATGCAGGTGGAGACCAGGCTTGCCCGTCTACCGAACGGAGACATGACAAACCCGCTTCTTAACAGCAGCCTCAACAGAGAGCAGTGGGTATGTTGCCTGTTTCTACTTAATTGTATATCATATAGTATCTAGTGTAACTCTAACATGAGCGTTTCAACCTCTCATGCTTTCTGTTTCTCAGACACAAGTTAAAAAGATCAATCAAGTGCTGTCAGAAGACTATCAGTGTCGGCGACAAATGATGATCAAACGCTTTCAGGTTACACTGGACGCATTCGCTTGGGGAGAAAAACAAAAGGTAGGCATGTCATATTACTGCATCTATTAGAACTTACTCCCTTTAAGAACAGTCATACCAAAGTGGATGAAGTTGTTGTTGATGTTGTTGTTGTTGTTTTTTTCAGTGTCTTTTTTTATTTGGAAAAAGATGAAATATGATAAATAAGAATTAAACTAAAGATACAGTGAAAATAAGTTAATGTAGTAACAAAAAACTGGTTTTACATTGAACAGCTTTTATAGACAAACTGTCAAATTAGTTACATTGTGCTGTTTGTCAGGAAGAAAGAAGATATCCACAGTGAACGATCAACATTAAGTCCCAAAGGAAGAACCACAGAGTAATCGAGTAAACCAAAAAGAGTAAAACCAGCAAAAAACAGTTAGCCGAACAGTTACTTAACTTAGTTAGGAAGCAGTACATAGCCTGCATTTTTTATTAAGTAAGACTCGTGAGTTTACAGCCACACTAGACGTCCTGTGAGGTTGTACTGTGGCAGTGCATTGAGCTAAATGCTAACATCAGCATGCTAACATGCTCACAATGACAATATTAAAATGATAAAGTTAAGCACGTATAATATCTACCATGTTCACCATCTTAGTTTAGCATGTTATCAAGTTAACATTTGCTTATTAGCACAATAGCACAAAGTACAGCTGAGGCTGATGGGAAAGTCATTAGTTTTAAAGGTATTTAGTCAAAAATCAAAGTATTTGGCAAAGTTTTGACCTGATGATGGCGCCGTCAAAGTTATTACAATTCATCCTCCTAGTTTCATATACAGTAGTTGTAGTTTTAGTTCCTTTCGACTCTTATCAGGTCTCTTGCTGCAGCAGGTGATTTGGGGACACAACATAATTGTAACAGTGTTATTATAACAACAAACATCCCAGTTCAATCTGTCTTTTATTTACAGGAGCGCAGTAAGGCGCTGGCCGCAGTGCCTCCTCTTTCATCCCTTTTCGGCTCCTCCCGAGTCTCCCTGTCTCTTCTGATTGCTGCCAGAGAGGATCAGTCCTTCATTGAGCCAATCAAGGCTGGAACAAGCACCTCCGTCTACAAGGTACAACTGTAAACAATTAAAAAGATGTCTCTGATGGTTGCAGATGGTTTCTAATTTATTTTTGGTCTCACTAGACGTTGATGGGCAGCGTTCCCGACAGAGGAGGACGGCCGGGGGAAATTGAGCCACCAATGCCACTGTGGGAAGATCGAAGAGCGAAAGGAAACCGATCAGGACGAGGAGGTGGACACCAACAACGGCGTAAATTCTCAGATAAAAAGAAGAAAGGGAAAAGAGAATAATGTGTCTTTCACTTTGGCTTTACTGTTTAATTTGAGAAATAAGGGATGATTTTTCTTTATTCAAATCCTTATGAAATAAATAATGGCTGTGGAATTATATGATTTATGATATAATTTATATTTTTATGATATGAATGTGTGTATAATTCTTAGTTATAGTACACAGATATACCTGACTGTGTAGATTTCTTTAAAAAAAAAGGCTTGCTATTGCTATAATGTACTGGTATATGACCAGATATTTTTGTTAATATGAAAGAACAGAACTGAAAAATAACACTTAATTTTGTATGTCTTGGCTTTGCACATTCATATATAGGTTTGTTTACTCAAATTAAACCTATTAAACCGAAGATTGTTGCTATTTTGTGTGATATAATGCACATTATTGATAATATAATGCCTTAATGCTTAAAACAATCACAATCACACACTTTAATTAACAATTATCATTTAATTTTTAGCAAGAAAACATAAAACTAGTGTAAATGATTTTCTCAATTATTGACTGTTTTCACAAGCCTGATCAGAGAGGCTAAAAGGCCCTAATGGAGTAGATCTTACAGACAGAGGGATTATTTTATCTATTATTATATGTAGCAGAGTGAAGGAGACATTCACATATGATTTTTATTTCATCCCAGTGTCTTTAATATTTTGTTTTAATTTATTATATGAAAGACTGAAAACGGTGGCAACAATTCAGAGGTAAAAGCAGGCTGTCTCCAAATGATAATGACTAATTCACCTGAAGACATGGTTGTAATGAAGAATTTGAACACAGAGAAATCATCCGAAGCACAATGTGAGAGGAGAATGCAAACTACACCTTTTTTAATAAGAAGAATAAAGTGAAAACTATTCATCTTTCTTTAAAAAAAATGTCATATTGTGAAGCTCACAAAAAACCTTTGACTTTTTCTTATTATTATTTTATTGTAATTTTAGGTCCAGATATGAAAACTTTAGTGGTTGCACCAGTTCAGAAATATACAATAAAATATACAAAATATAAATGTTCAAAATAAAATATTAAAATACGATTTAAACTGATATTGCATTAAATATATATCATAAACAATCTATATAAATTAAAGGAGTTACATAATACTTACCTGTAGCTTACGAAAGTGTCATTGTTGTGTCCGTCCTACCGGAAGTTACCCGTGAGACAAATGATGTAACACACAGAAAGTTCCGGATTAGCTAAAGGTCGACATATATCTGCGAGTGTGATAGCTATTAGCATCGCGTCAGCCTTGAACCAGCCAGCAAACTCACTAATAAACTAACTAATACATTCAACAAAAATGCCGAGAGGAAGCAGAAGCCGCACATCCAGGATGGCTCCTCCAGCCAGGTAACATTTAATACTTATAATGTTTAAGGTTGTGTAGGTTAATGTAGCTGGTAGCAAGTTTAGGGAGCTAACGTTAGCTTTACAGTCAACGCAGCTAGCCAGGGTTTATAATTACCATAGAGAGATTTATAAAGATCATATTTGTACAGCCAAATGTCTTCCTTTTGTACCAGGAAACTGTGCTCAAAAGTCACTGATCTAAGTACTGAAGGTCATCGTTATCAGGGTCTTTTTATGGCAACACAACTAACTAAATTAAACCTTTTCAACCCGTGTGGGATTATAGAAATCTACAGGCAGCTAGGATCAGTTTGCCTTTAATCTGCAGATGAGTTAAGTGGACATTTTTCATAAGTGTGTTCTGATTTCTTTACATGAACACTGAATGCCTCTAACTTTTCCTGCCAACATCCCATTATCCCCAGTGTGTGTCTGATTTATGACCATGTTGCCCACATCTGGTTTAAATTAAGAATTGGATGAAAGCGTTGGACTTTAGAAACCAAGTCCAACATATTGTAATATGATTTTGTACCATCATGCGTCAGTGCATTTGGCTTAAATGTGCTCTTTTTGTTTGCAATAGTAGTTAGCAGACTCGAGAGAAAGTTAGACTACAAAACTAATTTTGAAAAACGTATACCATTACGTACAGGTATTTTATTTATTTTTTAGCCTGTTATTCTGTTGAGATCGTACTTTAAAAACAACTTTATCTTTCCAGACAAGCACCACCACCCATGGCCAGGGCCCCACCTCCTCCCTCCTATGCCCCGGCCCCAATGCAGGCTCCTGCGTCGGCTGTGGGAGCTCCAGCTGCAGCACCCAGGCAGCCTGGTATGTTTGCCCAGATGGCAACCACAGCCGCTGGAGTGGCAGTGGGCTCGGCAGTAGGGCACACCATCGGCCACGCCATGACTGGAGGCTTCAGTGGAGGACAGTCGGAGCCTGCCAGGCCCGACGTCACTTACCAGGTAAATAAACTGCGGTTTAGCCGTTTACAGGACTGGAATAGCTTCACGGCAGATTAGTGTGTCTGACACAACGTAGGGAGGACATTAGTGACAAAAAACAGGTGTTTGTGTTTGGGATTTGGTGGAGGAGGCAAAGTTGGGTTGAAGTAAACATCACGTGTGTTGTAGCAAACTGATCACTGCGTGCAGTTACATTCACAGTTACAAGTGATTTTATATATTGACATAAAAAATTAGCAATGAAGTTCCACTCAAAACTTGTTTGTAAGGTATCAACTCATGTAAATCTGTGTTATTCGGTAAGTTAAGTCGTATTACTGTGAACCATGTACGTTATCTTTACCTGAATATATCCACAGTGGGTATTAAGGTATTTATGCTGATTAATTCCACTATGCTCTCTTGCTTGTCTGTCTTTAATAAGGCATTTCAACATTTTATAGGTAGACAATGTGTTCAAATTTTCCGGGTAGTAGTGACAGAAGACGTCACTTTTTATGATTGGGTTACGAATTGATACAGAATATTGATATACAGTGGGTGTGAGAATGATCATCATCTGCCCTGTGTCTTTCAGGAGCCACCCCAGGCCCAGCCATACCAGTCCCAGCCGTACCAGTCCCAGCCCATGTACCAGCAGCAGCCACAGTCCATGTACCAGCAGGAGGCCCCTCGTCAGCAGCAGGCCTGCTCCTATGAGCTCAAACAGTTCATCGATTGTGCCCAAAATCAGAGCGACTTCAAACTCTGTGAGGGCTTCAGCGAGGTGCTGAAACAGTGCAAGTTTGCGAACGGTGAGTGAAAAGTGTAACACTGCAAACGTGTGTGGCCATTTGTATGAAATTAGATTACTGATAGGTGTGTCAGGAGGTTTTCATCTTATTGTATATCAGATCAGTGCATCGTCTCTGCCGTCTTGTTTTGTACTTTTTATACTTGCTGCCAAATATGGAGGCTTTGCAGATGCACTTAGTCATCGAGACGTCACAGCCAAGGGACATTTATACTACGCACATACGCACATCAGGGTTCTGGTATAATATGTTGCAGTACCCAGTGTGGCCACGAGGAGGAGTAGCTTTAAAAGCTTCATACAACTGGCTTTTTTTTCTTGTACTGTAGATAATGCCAAATAAATTGATCAACCTATAAGTATGAAAACATGTCTAATTCTACTTTTTCTTTTCTCCACAGGTCTGTCATGAGACTGAGAGCAGAAACTGGAGAGTGAAGAGCTTACACAAACTGAAATAATCAACCGTACTGGATAACGAGAGGGTGTAATTCACAATAAATCAATAAACATGCTTTTATTTTGACAGCTGATCATCAGAGAGCATCATTGTATTCCTTTCTCAGGACAGCACTTCAGAGTTTGTAATAATAGTCTTATAAATTATGTTTATATATTTTGGTGTTGCATGCTATGAGTTGATTTCAGTTGTTTTTCATTAGCTTCAGTGCTTTTAATTTAAAGTTCCTCCCATATAAGTATAACAACGTGTACAACCTCCAGCTTATGGGTGCCTACAATGTGTAACAAGTTCAAAAATAATAAAGCACTTGACTCATTAAAACACTGTGATGATTTATTCCCTGCCTGTTCGGATGAACCACATTATTCCACTGTACTCTTGAAGAAACATTTCTATTTTTACAATCAGTTTCTTTAATTAGAATTGAGCTGCTACAAAGCACAGACACCACAGCAGCACCTGTCCTGTCAGTCCAGACTCGCAGTTGAAGGTTGCATGTGCAGTAATGTGGGTAACGTAGAGCAGTGCTGTGTCTGTGATCGTCTCATTGAGGGCGCAGGAGGTGCAGGGTGTTATTTCATGGATCTGGTTTTTGTGCGGACGCGCGTTCAGAGTGCGCTCCTCCTGCTCCTGCTGCTCCTGCTGCTGCGGAAGCAACAATTTATTTTTGGCATCTGACATTAAAGCTCACCCTTTGCGATGGCAGCGGCCCCACGAAGCCGGCACAGCACCGAGTGTTGACTGGACCTCTTTGTTCGTCCTCTACTGAGTGATAATGATGGACCCCCTTTTATAACGGGGACTGAGCAGCACGGGACGCGGTGAGTGACCCACCGGTGATTTTTTTCTTCCTTTAATGTGTTTCTTTATTGGAGCCCGCAAAAGGTCAAATAGTGACAGGATGAGAGGGAGATAGTTCACATGCTGTTCACATGCAGCTGCATTAGTCTACACCCGAGCTTATGTCGGCTAATGTCGGATCATTTCTAGTTTGTTCGCTGATTAGATCCTGTTACAATCAATACGAGTGAAACAGAGCTGAGATTTATACCTTTTACACCAACCTGTGACTCTGGTTGTGCCATCGATAATAAAAAAAAAAGGCTTCTGTCTACACCAGGTAACAATGAAAAAACATGTTGAAATACCTCCTAAGCTTTTCATTTTAAGATGAAGATGAAATGTGCATGAAATAAGTCACTTTGAGTTAATCCTTAGACGACATGAAGGCTCTGCTGTTGCTCCTCAGTCCTCTGTTTATCTTACCTTGGTGCTATATAATAAGTATAGTGTAATAAGTACATTTACAGTGCAATGTAGTGCAATCTTGGGACAGTTGTATATGTTGTGCTCCACTACATTACAGAGGAATATTGTACTTTTTACTCCACTATAGTATAAAACTTGATGTACTCTTACAGGTTAATCCAGCCTACAGTATATAAAATGGCTGCAATTCATAATTATGTTCATTATCATTTAGCCTTCCATTTATTTTCTCACTTTCTAGATTAACTGAAAAAATCTTCTTTTGCCCAAAACCAAAAGAAATTCAGTTTTCAAGAATCTTCAATAGGGAAGAGGAGCAAATACTCACATTTAAGAAGATGTAACCTGCGAATTTTGGGCATTTCTGCATAAAATATGGCTTGAAACATAAAATACAACTGATCAAATCACTTCAGCTCAATAGTAAACTCAGCTCCACCTTGACCTGCTACAACATTAAAGTGCTGCTTGCACATGAATGCATCAGTAATGATAAACACAATATAAAACAATGTGAACACTGACAGGCAACCTGTTGTGAGCTGAAAGAGGAAGAGCAGTTCTGAAGCCTTGGTGGTGAACAAGCATCGCAGCCCTCATGACCAAAGAGGAGGAGATCCCTGACTGGGTGGGAGCCCAGGAGTTCTACGACAAGTATGAGCCCAAGGAGATTCTGGGAAGGTATGTTTATAAAGTCTTAAATTAGCCTGTAGCAGGGGTTCCCAGCTCCCACAAGGGGTCGCAAGTTAAATCTGAGGAGTCAGGACTTCTCTCTCTGATCTCTGCTTTATTTTTCTTGTGAATTTCTCGCCAATTTTGTTTCTTTGTGACGTTAGAATTGTTCAAATTAAGTAAGAAAACTCACAGGAGGTCACAGTAGACATTTGAGACTTGTAATGAGTAGATGCAAATATATTATGTTTCTTCATTTTAAAGGAATAGTTGAGTATATTGACACCATTCACATTTGTGTAAGGCAAGTTATATCTTTATTAATCCCCCGTAGCTTTAAATATGAAGCTGCAGCCAAGAAGTGGTTAGCTTAGCTTAGCATAAAGACTGGAAACAGGGGGAAACAGCTAGCCTGGCTCTATCCAAAGGTCACAAAATCCACCTACCAGCACCTCTAAAGTCCACTGATTAACACGTTATATCTCATTTATTCAACAACAAATTTTGCCAGGCATTCAGCGAGAGACTCCAGGAAGTTACATTTTGTCACCTTTGGAGCTGTTTCCAGTCTTATTTCCATATTTAGCAGACATAAATGCCAGTGGTATTAATCTTATTATCTAACTCTTGGCAAGAAAGTGAACGAGCATTACTCCTCAAAACTACCAGCCAAAAATGTTATGAACGACTGGCCCTCAACACAAGTTCTCATTTGTCAGCGTGGTTTAATAAACTTGCAGTCTATAAATTCCCAACTCTAAAAAAAGTTTCTAAAATTGTATCAATAGCACAATACAGTATAATACAGCTCAGCATGTGAGAAATGTTTATTCAGCTTGAACTGTCACTGTTGCTGTGGACAGTACAAAAACAAGCCCAATGGTTTCCCTGAAGTTTCCCAGAAGTCCCTGAGAAAAGCTTCCCTTTCTCATTGTCATTCCCCACCATCTGTCAGACGGCGGTGCTGTTACGTAAGCTCACAGTGTAAGGAGGCTGCATTCATTAACTTCAGCGTGTTTTGGACAAAGGTTTAGTGTTGAGAGCTGCCCGGGATGGCACGCTGTTCAGATTACGCAATTTCACTCACACGCAGGTCACTTAAGGTCACAAGGTCACCGGGTGTGAACAATGTGTTCAGCTGCTCTAGTATTCTTCCCATGGCTCAGTCTGCTTCACAAACAGGGGGCAGAGAGTCTGTTCGGTGTCCTCTGGAGTGGATTTAATTTCATTTTTTCACTATCTTTGACTTTACGCTCAGGCTCCGTTCCCTGAATGATGACACTCAGATGAAGCTACTCTTCCACAGATTAGATTACAGTAGTATTCAGTAGAGTATAAAGACATGTGTGCTGAAAGAAACAGCTTGAGTGTGGAAAATTACATCCACGAGTTACCACAGGAAACTTTCAGCTTGGTGCTGAAATTTCTGACTGAAGCACACAAACATGTTTTCATATCCAGCTGTGCAAACAGAAAAAAGAAAAAAAAATCTCTGAAGAAATCAGTAACCTGATAAAGCTGTAGATAACAAGGCTTCTCTTTCTCAGGGGAGTGAGCAGTGTGGTGCGCCGCTGCGTCGACAAACGGACGTCTCAGGAGTACGCGGTGAAGATCATCGATATCACCCCCTCAGACAAGATGACTCCGCAGGAGATCGAGGAGATCAGAGAGGCGACAGTGAAGGAGATCGACATCCTCAAGAAAGTCTACGGACAGGACAACATTAGTAAGCACATCAGTTCAATTTAAACTGGGCGATTGTCTTTTTACACCTGGTCCCACTGACCTGATCAAGAGGTCAGTTGTGAACAGAGGTGGGAAGAAACACAGTACAAACACAGTTAATAGCCCGAGCTTTTATTTGCTTCAATCACCGGACTCAAACAGGCCTCTAAACGGGACAGGCCTTAAATTCCTTTAGCACAAAACTCTTGATCAGCAAAGATGGGAAATACTAACAGATTGTTTTTTTTAAAACAGTATGAATATTACTTATATAAAAATAAGGCTACTGAATAATATATTAATTATTAATCATTAGTTTGATACTTTGGTGTTTCCATAAAATGAAATGAATGATTGAACTTTGGATCTGATACTGTTCTAATGATTTGTAGCATCACAAACTTGTGTTTATTAGTCAAAACATGTAGCCACAGTAAAGGAGACCTGCGATACTGCTAGAGTATTTAATTTTTAGACAAGCTTTTCCTTTTTTTTGGAGGGGTGTATCCTGATGAAAACAACATTAAACACATAACATGATAACATGACGAAACAAACGAGAGACAGAGACTCAACTCTATTTGAAGTTTCTGAGTACTTTTTACTTTCATATTTTGAGTACACATCAGTATTTTTTCACTTTTACTTGAGTAAAGAAATTGATTCTACTTTTACTGGAGTCTGTCTGTGAAGTGTCTGTACTTCTTGAGTAAGGGGTGTGTATACGTTTGCAACCTCTGGTTGTGAAGAGTTTTGCTCTTTGCTCTCAAGTGATCCACTCATCAAGTCTTGATTAAACGTTCCTCAAATGTGTCTCTCCTCTCCAGTACAGCTCAAAGACTGCTTTGAGTCCAAAGCCTTCTTCTTCCTGATTTTTGACCTGTAAGTGTCAAATCTCAAGTTATACATTACTTTTTCAATTTTAACTAAAACATAAATTAGTTTAAGTTTTACTTTCTCTCCACCAGGATGAAGAGGGGGGAACTTTTTGACTACCTCACAGAGAAAGTTACTCTGAGTGAGAAGGAAACCAGGTCAGTAAGCTTGTTATTTCACTATTTGACTAGTTTCTAAGATGAATGCGATGAATTACCAAAATTCTTTAAAGACCTTAAGTTCAGTTTGGTGTGTGTTGGTTTTAGGAAGATCATGCGTGCTCTGTTGGAGGTGGTCAAGTTTCTTCACGACCAGAACATCGTCCACCGGGACCTGAAGCCTGAGAACATCCTCTTAGACGACGAGATGAACATCAAACTCACGGACTTTGGCTTTGCTGTGCAAGTCAAGCCGGGACAGAAGCTCAAAGGTCAGTGAAAGTATTATTACAAGATTTAAGGTCATTTCAGGAGGAAAGGTTTACATCTAGATGGTCCGAGCAGTTAACTATATCCTCAACACTGCTGTATACCAACAGCAGTGACTCCCACCCTGACATATTCAGCTGAAGGTTTATAAGTGTCCCGCTGTAATGAAGTTACTGTTTACAACCTACAGTGCGGGTACAGCAGCTGCTGGCGGTCGGCGGATAATCTGGGTCTGGTTGCACAACATGCTCCCATCTCTCCTAGCTGCTCTCACAAAGGTTAAGATGCAACAGGACACTCAGATCTAGTCTCAGACGGTCAGAGTACACTGACCTTTCAAACAGACTTCTCAGAAAGTGTGAGATCATCGGCAGTGGGAACTGGCCAGTTAAACGTCTAATGGGACTATCCATCAACATATAATTTTGTTTAGTTGGTGAATGTATAACTACATTAGTAGATCTATTCCTGCTGTAACCATGTGTTCTCAAATAGTCGTTAATGCACAAGGAGGTCAATAGTTACAGTACATTGGTTCACTGGTTCTCAATATGTCTACCACTGAAATACATTTATTTAAAAACATATAATACTGTCAAAATACTACAAACATTTGAATGAAAATATTGATGAGATTTCAGAAATCTTAAATGTGTTTTTTCCAGTAATATTTCTAGTTTTTGTCTTGTGATGGCAAGATAGAAAGTAAAGGTAAAATGACTCCATACAGGAAATATTGGGAAGAGAAGTGTGGACCAGAGGAACTTCCTTTACCACCAAATTAGTTCTTGAACCAGGTCCGTTCATGATTCAACAACAGGCAGCAATAAATAATCTTATTGGAATAAACCTGCCTCCTGCGTGAAGATGAATAGCTGAACAGGGTAGGCCTGTACCGTACTGAGCCCAATATCTTCTGAAGTTTAACAAACACTACCCTGATATGAAGATGTGCAAAGTTATTATAAGTCCTGAAGTAACTGTATTTGAGTTGGTTAAGCAGTTTATTCAAGTCAGTGTGTGATTTAATAATTTAGTAAACTGATTTTTATTTAATAAGACAATCTTTCGGAAACCTTTTTTTATAAAGGTCGTGTTAGTTTTGAATGTGTTGTTGTTTTAGAGAGAAATTAAAGGGACTACTAAATAAATATGATAATTATTATTTTATTAGGGTGGTTATGGTCAAGAGGAGGCAATGTTAGCCTCATTACATAACCTTTTGTAATTGTAACTGCTACTTGAAGTAATCTTCTGGGGAGAAACTAATGTACCTGAAATGGTAATTCCACAGTACTTCTTCTTGAGTAATAGTAGCTTGGTTTTGATATTTTAATACTCCTTACACCGCTACCTGTCAGATTAAAGTCTCAGAAATGCTGACAGATTCTTGTTCATATCTAAAACATCTGCTAGAGCCCAAGTGGTAAATTTTTTTTCAAGTTTTGTAAATAAAGGTTTGAAAGTTTACGAGTTTGTCGTTTCTGTAACGCAGAGGTGTGTGGGACCCCTGGTTACCTTGCTCCAGAGATCATCGAGTGCTCCATGGACGCAGGGCACGCAGGATATGGTACTGCTGTGGATATGTGAGTGCGCAGAGACCAAAGTCACACTATATATATGCAATCATATAAGATCTATTGTGTATTACAGTATGTTATTATCAGGATAATGAGTGTACACACTGTTAGAACCCTTTCCTCTGGGTTTGCCTGCAGATGGAGTTCAGGGGTCATCATGTACACGCTGCTTGCAGGCTCTCCGCCCTTCTGGCACAGGAAACAGATGCTGATGCTGCGTATGATCTTATCTGGGAACTATGATTTCTCGTCTCCAGAGTGGGAGGACCGCTCAGACACTGTGAAAGATCTGGTAGGCTGTTGATCAAATGACCCAAGACTGTGTGTCTTTTTTCAACTTGGGTTGATTAAGTGTTGACAATCAAAATATTTGAAGCTGCAGATTCACAAAAGGATGAATAAAACTCTCGGTGTGGTTTCCTCAGATCTCTCGGATGCTGGTGGTGGACCCAAAACAGCGATACACAGCTACCGATGTTCTCAACCACTCGTTCTTTTCACAGTATGTGGTGGATGAAGTACGACAGTTCAGTCCATACAGGCGCTTCAAGGTGAGATGATTTTTTTATTTGACTAAATTTGCTCAGATTCTCATTTGCATCCACACACACTCGACATACTATAAATGTAGATTTATGCAGATCTTCCCGTGTGTCAAACCTTAGTTAGATGTTCTGGGTTTGGAAACAAAACTTAATGATCTTTGAGAGATGACAGGCCGATGTCATATATTTCAGTGTCTTTGAACGAACCGGCAAGGACAGATTAAACTGCAATATCACACAGGGACAGTTTACTATGACACCTACCCCCTATTACCTGTAAAATAAGTCTGTTGTCACTGTCACATAGTTGTAGTGTTTTTGTCACTAATCTCAAAATGTGTTAAGTTTAAATATTTTCCTTTTTCATTTTGGTCATTTCAGTCAAGTTTTAAGTCTTTGCAGGTAAATTGTGAAAGTGAAATTAATTTCATCATGCACGGAAATGAATGAAAACAAATCCCCAAATCCAAAATCTACTGTATTCTGAAGCATGACAAAGTAACTAAACTAAAAGATGTCAGTCAAACACAGTTCTAGACACACAAAGTCTAACTGGGCAAAATAAGTGAGAACAGCTGTGTGGATGGACCATAGGCGTGTATAAGGTCTTTATTGTGCCAGAAACATTATTACAGTGGGCATCGTAAAGATTTAATTTCACTGGACACTTTCCACACATTTAATATTCCCTCAATACTCCAATAAACACAAAACGTTTCCCGATCTTTGTCTTTCAGGTTATTTGTATGACTGTTCTCGCCACAATGAGAATCTACTGCAACTACCGCCGTGCCAAGCCGGTCACCAAGGAGGTGATCAAGAGCGACCCGTACGCTGTCAAGCCGATCCGCAAGCTCATCGACGCATGTGCTTTCAAGATCTACGGCCACTGGGTCAAGAAGGGCCAAACTCAGAACAGAGCAGCACTTTTCGAGAACACTCCCAAAGCCATCCTGCTGTCGATAACCGCTGAGGCAGACGAGCCGGTCCAGCACATCTGGTAACGAGCACTTCAGGATCGACCCGCTGGAGCTTAATGGAGGTGCACTTCTACACTGTTTATCTTCTCCTGTTGTATAGAGGAAATGAACTGGTAAGCCACTACTACAAGGCACCAGGTTGATTTGTCTTTAATGTGGAGAGTTATGCTCATGAATTTTGAAATGTGGGATTGATTTACCTCAATTTGTTCCAAAACTTATTATTTCTGTCCTAAATGTGGATTAAAATTACTGTAAAAATAACAGATTTTCTGGCAAAATGTAGAGAAAATATTTAATTTCAAATGAACCCGCTCTCTCCTGAGTTCTTTGATTACCATTTTTCAAACATGGATACAAGGTTTCCACTTTATATTTTACTATATGAAATATAAACAAATGTTTTGTTCAAGATTAGAATATAGATTTGAATTTCAAATTATGTTTGTGAAATCACGAGTTTCTGGTTCTATAAGCATTACGTTACTCTTTTCCTTACAATCGTGTTGTCAGAACTGTGAAGCATCGTCTTAGCAGCTCAAAGCAAAACGTGTGTGGAAAAACAGCCCACATAATTTTGCTGACTGGTACATAAAACAGTGAACCTGCATACTTGAATTGGCATGGCCTTTATTGTTTGCGTACTGCGTGGCGGTAGATTATTATGCAGGATGTACGTTACTGTACTGAACTACTTATTGTACTGGCAGCAGTTTCAAGGGAAGTTTTAAAGACGATAGCACTTTAAAATGTATGCTTTGGATTTATTTATTAAAATGTGCGTTTAATTTAAAATCCAGTCTTTTTGTCATGCTTTTGAATTTTAAGTAATGTAGAAAGGGAAAACACAAGAGCAGTTTTGAACACAGTTGCAGGTTTATTATAAACAGAAACGTGAAGTACATCCACATCTTTCAGTGATAAACCATCCACGGGCAGATGGTACCAGTTTTTTAGCACATGACGCAGCTTTTCATGGTGGAGCTGTGGGTAGAAAAGAACAAACAGACAGCATTTAGAGTTAAAGAGATCACAGAGCAGAGAGACAGTAGTTATTTTGACTTTTCATATTCTTACCATAAGTGGTGGAGTTTGTTATTTATCTCATGTTCCTGCTTCAGAAGGACCGCTAGTTGTCCTGCAGAATTTAGCAAACAAAAAAAAATAAATAAATAATCAATACAAAAACTAACATCAACTCTTTTCCAGAGCAACATCTTCACTTTGTGCATCTTTGTACTCATTCCTGTACAGTTGGATGAGGCCGAGGGGAACACTCATCCAGTCATTTAGCAGAAATGAGACGAGGCTTTTGCATGGTGTCTGACTGTATCCATCACAGAGCAGCTGGAACAGAATTCGTCCATGCCTCAGTGGAAACTTCTTCAGTGTTAGGAAACGTAACAAACATACCGTCCTCTGACCTTTCTTCATTGTAGCGACCTTGTTGTGTTGGTCCTGTGAGTGATGACCCTCAGCATGAATGAGCCGGTATTACTTCTCCATGAATACATATTTCCATGCTGGAACAGAATAAGTACAATAGAGGATATGAGATGAATTTGTCTACTGATGTAATAGGTTATTGAGCTGTATGTTCTCACACTTAGACAGCACAGATCAGTCAGTTTCAAAAGGGGAGGAAGATGGAAGAAGAAGTATTTATTGAAATGTTGCAATGTGCAAAATCGCAGATGCTGAAATATTTGATAAAAAGCTCAAATGCAAAAAAACAGCATTATATTGAAATACTGTAGTTCTTAAGAGATTCCCTAGACCATAAACCTTGTTCAATAATGATCATTCCCACACTAACTGAGAATCATAGAGATTCTGTTTTTAAAGTTCAAATAATTAATGATTAAACTATCAATAATTAATTGCAGGAAGATATAATCATTAAAAGTCGTCACATATTTAATGTTTCTGTATTCACTCTGACATGAGAATGAGGCACATAGTGAGCGCTCTTATCCTGTTGTTGAGTCAGTGTGTGAAAACAATACTTTAGCACGGTGTCTGACTGCATTTACTATTACAAGAGTAATACAGAATTCAGCCATGCATCCAAATACATTATTATTATTATTATTATTATTATTATGTATGAGTTACCTCTCCATGTTTCAGGATCAACACTCATTTTCAGACAAGGCCTCTGCAATATGAGTCAGTTCTCTGTAACACAAAGCAAGTATTAAGAGATTGACTAATTATGTTTGCTAAGGTTATTGGACTAATAAGTGCCCGTTTGTTTAAATTAAAATCTGAACAGGAAACAAACATGCAAGGCCACAGAGCAGCTAAAGTGCTCTATGGGCAGAGATTGTGACATTACAAACAATTTAAAAGCTGGTTGTTGCTGCTCAAACAAACAAACAGTTTAAAAAATTGGTACACTTTCAGTATAATGAAGAAGACTATCTGCTCTTCCTCACCTCAGCACATGGAGGCCTGTGAGTTTCAGGATGGGAGCTCCTCCATGATGAGTCAGTTCAGGCCATCTCTTCCAATGTATCCTGTGCAATGATCACAAACATCACTCAGCATAAAACTATACATTTTATACACCGAATACAGGTTGAAAGCACTGACAGTGTAAATAAAAGATATATTTTAAGCCTATATAAGGTTTTTATGGTCATGCATGCACAGGCTTTAATACATTTAGACCAAACTTAAACACCATAACAAAATGTGCATTAGTTGCTTTAGTATGGTGCTGTTAAAGTCTGATAACAATACAATGAATGCCACAGACATCCAGGTGCGAGGCGCCAACACGTGGCCCGCATACTTTCCACGTCCATGTTGAAAACCTGCTGATAACCCCCCCCACACACACACACACACACACACACATACACATTCAGTGTCTCTCTCCAACATTACCTGTGCTCAGTTGCAGTCTCGTGTTGTCACTGTTCGAGTTGAACACTTCATTCATTCAGACTGGTCGACATTTTACCAAGAGAAGAATCTGTGGTATGTTCTTCCTCGACTTCAGCATCGTTGACTGAAGAGCATCTCTCCCCGCTTCCGGATTCTTCTCCTTCTCAATCCCCGTCTTCCTCTTCTAGGGTTGTGCGCCGCTTGAATGCAGCGTTGCGCTCACTGCCGCCACCTTCCGGTCAGGAGTCAGGACTGCAAATCAAACTCTCAGATTTTAAAACGTGTCTTTCTTAATTAAACTTTGGTAAACCGAACCAATACACATACTTTTCCACGAGCTTATTTCTTTATCGAAAACAAAATGCTGTTTAAACTTAAGCACTATTTATTTATTATATTATTTATTTTCTTTTAATTGCCACATTGAGTCTGCCATCTATGCAGCCTAACCACATTATCAGTTAACTAGTCCATTCAACTCAAGCTGCTGTGTTTTTATATCCCTGCTGGCTGACTAATCTACTCCATATAGGCTATTAATACTACATAAATAAACTTAATAACAATTCCTAGTTTCTGTGGGTTGTTTACTCTTTATGTATCCGGTTTTAATCCTGCCTGCTTGTTGTGTGTATTTCTGAAACGTTATTAATAAAGCCACACTGAACCTAACATACCATCTTCACAATATTGTGAAAAATTTGTTTTTTTAAACCATGAAACCATAAACTGAACATAAAGAACCACATGGTAAGTATAACGTTTGTCTTTTGGATGCATCTGTATTTGAATGTGATTATTTTAGAATTTCTTTGACACTTTGTGACTTCAGTGACTACTTCATTGCTGCTTAATGGTTGTGACATCTTTTAATATTCTAATGTAATATTATTTTTAATTAGCTAGTCAACAGTGTGCTTCAATACCAACGTTCCCCACACTGGGGAAACCCTTTACTTCATCGCTTATTTATTTTGAAGACTGGTTAAAGGGTGTGTGTCTAAGCATAATGTAGCTTAAATATTTAAGGAGCAAAAAAGGGTGTATGAGAGAGGAATCAACAATAATATTAATTCAATACAATTACTAATTATTTGTTAAATGAAGTCAGTAACCTAATCTATCACAATATTAAACTTTCTGTTACTTTTGGATTACCTCAACACCAAATATGTAAATAAAAAACAAGAAAAAAGAAATGAGTCAATATGTTTATTCTGTTCTTTATTCTAAGACAAGAGAATAATGAAACCTTTAAAAAGAAAATGGAAAAATTCAATATTTTTTGCATTAAAAATGTGTCCTCTGCTCAGTGTATTTTAAAATTGTAATCCTGCTAAATAATCCCCATTTTACAAAATGTAACTGTAATTGGATTATGTCTTTTTTCTTAAGTAATGTAATATTACTCCCAAAGTCAGATAAGCCTTAATAACTCAAGCCTGAATTAGTTTTATGAGGTCTACCCCTTTAGTTAGAGCTGACTGCTGTAATAACAATAATAATAAACCTACTTTTATACAGTTTTTGTAAGGATAACTAATTATTTTTAACCCTGCTAAAGCTCATTTCACTGTAGTTAAAAAAGTTAAAATTATTATTATTATTATTATTATTATTTATACTTTATTTACAAACAGGTAAACAGACAATGTCAGGGGACAGACATAAATCATAAATCAGTTAAATAAATTATACAAGGTAAATAAACATGAAGTTTGGATTGCTTTCTTATGGGATTACTTTTTAAAGTAATGTAACGTATTGTTTGATTTCCCTTTCAAAATAAAAGAAGATGGTTTATAATTAGAAAATGGCAAACAGAAGGATCAAATTGATTATATAATACTGATTATAAAAGGGGGGGGGGAGGCCAAACAATACATTTTCATTCAAAAGGGTAAAATCAGAAACAATATACTGAAAAATAAAAGCACAAAATATATTTATAAATGACATAAAATCTTCCGTTGATAAAATTAGCAGTTAGCATAAATCAGCCGTTGGTGAGCTGACCGTTGTGTCGTCATGGAACCGAGCCAGCGGGGTAGTGGGCGGTCCCTCACCGGCTTCTCTCTGATTGGTCCAGCTTCCAGCGCTTCCCTTCCTCGTCGGTGAGCCCATTGAGTCGTCGGCTAATGCTGAAGCTGCGGTCAGTGCCTTACCAACGCTGCTCACACCAGTAAGTACCAGGGAGCACAACTTGTACTGGTTAACAAAGAAAAAAAAAACAAACCAAAAAACATTGCAGTCCGGGTTAGTCTCCCGTAGTTCGACGGTTAAACGGCGGTTGTGTAAAGTGCTCAAATCAAGCGTCGCGGACTGCACCGGACAGGTAACCGTCCTCTCGGAACCAACGGTCGTACGTAACGTCAGAAACGTAGCAGTGCCCGCCTGCAGCACCGAGCTACTGTTCTACACCAACAGGGGGTCTTTTCTTTTTGTTTTACCGTGTTTTCTCGTCGTCTTCACGTTTGTTTGGGGTCTTGCTCGCCATCCCCGGTTCTCTGTATTGTGCCTGTGTGCCTGGGGTGACGCAATATGGGCAGACGATGTCCATACCGGCCTATCATCATATAGTTTGTTTAGGCACACTTTACGTAACGCACGACTGACCGGGACACGTGTTTTTTTTTTTTCTTTTTCGAGATGAGCTCCGTCGATGCAGAAACGTTTGCACATAGGTATTTCAGTGGATGGATGAGTTTGCTGCTCCACTGGAGAGAAGACATCCACTGCATGCAGGGCTGTTAGTTTGACACTGTAACCAGGCAGCTGCAGGGGGAAATCTCAGTGCCACCAGAGTAGGGCTTTAAAAAAGTGATTATTTTTTGACAGATATTGCAATATGATCTTTGATTAGTGGGAATGATCATTTTTGCAAAACAAAATTCACTTTAATTTTTGATGAAAGATTTGTCAATCAGTGCATTTCTGCAGCACTACAGTACAAAAGTTGCAGCTTCTGCAATCTGGATATTGCAATGCAGTTTTTTTAAATGCAGTTGTCTTTGAGTGTCTCATACTGTGTGTTTATTCTTTTTTTCCCAGCATGATGGCAACACTTTCACAGACAAAGGAACTCTTCAGGAGAGCAGAAGCTGTCTGTTTCGATGTGGACAGCACTGTTATCAAAGAAGAAGGCATAGACGAACTTGCCAAGTTTTGTGGTGTGGGGGATGCAGTCACTGAAATGTATGTGTATAAATGCTGCAAACGTCACATAAAAGCTTCAATTCTCATATTATCCTTGGATTTGTTTAAAATGTTATGCCGCCTTTTGCTGTTTTCACATTTCAGGACTCGCAAAGCTATGGGTGGTTCCATGACGTTTAAAACAGCCCTGACTGAGCGTCTTTCCATCATCCGATGTTCCAGAGAACAAGTGAACAAACTGATAACAGACCACCCACCTCAGCTGACTCCAGGTATCAGGTGAGTATATGAGGATCCCACTTTATCTGAGTAAAGTCAGCCGTATATTGGTGTGCACACGAGATTTAACATATTTAAATTTGTTTACAAGGGAAGTACTCGATTGTGTACATTTAAGAAAAGACAAATGGGGGAAAAACCAGATCATTTTGTAGGAAAACACCAAATCAATATTTTTAAAGCATACGGTTGATAGATTTTACAACTTCCTGCTAAACCAAAATGTAAATGTTGATAAACGGTCATTTATCTTTATCCAGGGAGCTTGTGGACCGTCTGCACCAGCGCAACATCAAGGTGTTCCTCATCTCAGGCGGCTTCCGCTGCATTGTTGAACATGTGGCCACTCAGCTAAACATTCCTCTGCATCACGTCTACGCCAACCGGCTCAAGTTCTACTTCAACGGTAAGAGCTAGAGGTTTTATCTGCTTTCATGAAGAGTGGAGCATTGTGTGTCTGAATCAAATCTGAAGTATCACAACGCTCCTGTCAGCGTGCTGTAAGGCCTCATTCTACATGCACTAAATTGAATTACACCCGTGTGTTTCCAGGAGAGTATGCTGGTTTTGATGAGAGTCAGCCCACAGCTGAGAGCGGTGGAAAAGGAAAGGTCATCAGCATGCTGAAGGAACAGCACGGCTTCAAGACCGTGGTGATGATTGGAGATGGAGCCACTGATCTCGAGGCCTGCCCTCCGGCTGTAAGTGTTCACACGGACTACGTGTACATGCACACCAGTTTTACACTGTTATTCCCAATATGACGATATTCCGTATTTGACAAGGGTCATGTTAACAGCATATTCCGTTTGGATATTCCTAATTAGGCTTTATTCTGAATGGAGCACTTTGTCTGATTAAGATATATGGGATATGCTGATATTATTCAGGGTTTTAGAAGCATTCTTTGGACATGTATACAGAACATTCAAAATATGTCTCATTTGGGCAAACCACCGTAAAAAGGTTTTTCGATATGTGCAAATATCTCGATGCAAAGAGGCAAAATGGCGGAAGTGTCTGTTCCAGTTTTCACATGACTGCAGTTTGAAGAGGAGGGATGTAGGACGTACGGAGCGTCATTAACAGTCACTTTAATCACAGTATGCACTGCTGCATGTGAACACTAAATATTAGTGGAACATTTTTCATTCGCCAGGTTATATTTTTGGTAATAGGGCAAAAACTGAAATATTTTGTGCATGTAAACGTAGTTATCGTGTGTTATGCTGCTTTAAACTATCTCCAGAGTCACATATTGGAGTTACGGTGTGATGACAGTATTCTTTCTTTTGCCCGCAGAGTGCTTTCATTGGATTTGGTGGGAATGTCGTGAGGCCGCAGGTGAAGGAGAGGTCTTTGTGGTACGTGACAAGTTTCGGGGAGCTGCTAAAGGAGCTGGAGAAGATTTAAAGATGCTAAAAGAGTACTGTTACTAATTTTAACCTTTTTATATTTGCACATACGGGTGTGCCTTTTTCATGGTTTTATCCAGTGCACAATTTTCCTTTTTATCTCTCAATAGATTTTTATAATGAATGAAAATGTTTACACTAGTGAGACCAATCTTACTTCATGGCCATGTTGCCCTATTGATTTTTATACTAGAAAATACTAAACAAATAACCAAACACTGTCTATGTGAAGGTTAAGAAGATGATTTTAGATGTTTGCACTTTTTGCATCAAAACCTTTTAGGTAAGCTAATACAACTCCTGCATATTATGGCATGTGCAATGAGCAATAGAAATGTTTTTAATTATGTACGGATACTAAGAGCTGTACGCAGTCACAGTCAGTGAGCGTGGTGACTTCTTGTCCTGTAGAGAACATCAGTATTAAACATAAAGAACATGCTGTCAAAGAGGTTGTTTGAACTGCTTTAATCTGTGTTGGCGTTCTTGTCCTTCCCTCTACACTGTCCCTTATGAACCGAGGAACAAAAAGACAAGATAAACATGCTTCCTTTAACAATAAAATCTGATATTACAATATGCAGCAGCGTGACTACCCACTGCCAGATTCACTCAGCCACGGATAAACTGTTCAGAGTTCATCATACATGATATTTATGCCCCTTTAAAACATGTTGGATAAAAACTTTTTTTTTTTTTTTTCTTTAAACCAGGCATGCCATCTTCACAAGAAAAAAGTAGAAGCCATAGTTACAAACACAGCACCATGAAACATCAACATTACTATGACAGGGAACCTAGGAACATCCAGAAAAAATAAACTGAAAACTAAATTCCTTGATTTATAATAGAAAATTAGGTTTTACACCGTGTCATACTTTTATCGTTTTCATGAATGTACAGAGGTTTTTTCTCACTTCACTCAGCAATAGCATGGCTTACATCAAAGTGCCACTTCTCAGCACACTTCCAATGTATTCCAAATTTACATAAAATAAATAAATAGCTACTGCATTGTGCAGCGAGCTTCAGCAGTACTGTTTTTTTTCCCCCCACCAGCTGCTCGTCTTTTCAAGTAACTTTGGTTGGTTCAAAGCTCAAGAGATGAGCTCTCTTCATGGACCAGTTTTAATGTGGCACGAAACGTCGGACATAAGGACTATCAGGAGGTTTAAATTGGCCAAATTTACTCATCCTCCTCCAGAACCAGAAATAAAAAAGAAAGAAGTGTGTCATCAGTGGATGTAAGTGGCTTGGACTACTTTAATTTTAGACACATGGTAGACATTGCTGCCTCCTCTGTCCTAGTGATATCCTGAAGTAACAAAGCATAGACAAGAACAGAGAGGGGATGTTGACTGGCAGCACTGACAGGAGGTTGAAACCACGAGAGTGATGCTCTGGGTGGATGTAACATTCAAAAGGGGTGCCACTTGATATCAGCCTCCAGCTCGTGTCTCATTTTACTGCAGCGGGGAAGCCTTTGTCGGGATCATGATCCTGGAATCCATATGCTGAATGAGAGGAACTGGAGAAAAGGGGAAAGAGCTGGTTCAGTGTGTCCTCATAGTTTAAAGTCCTTTTGATACGGATTAGGTTCAGCAAGCTCTAATAGTGACTAAAAAGCTCAATATGTTACTCAAGAGAGTTTTTATCACCACCTTGTATTCAGAAATTGATTTCCCCCTCCCTCCTCACCTGTGTAATACACCACCTCGTCCCAGCCCTCCTGCTGCCAGGCGCCATTCCTCGTGTCTTCTCTGGACTGAAGGTCTTTGTAAGCTGCAATCAACAGATCAAACACACTGCTTATAGTAAATTGAGTTCCTGCACTTCAAGTTTTGCGTGATTTAGAGCTGCAAGTAACAACAGATTAATCGTTCAAATTATGATTTAAACTTCACTTTATGTTTCTGGACACGTGGGTGCAGCAGTAAACACAAGTTGACATCACCTTAAAATATGAAGTAAAAAAAACACTTGCATATTTACAATTAAGTCAGAGATGGAGCAACAAGAGCAATCATTTAGAGTCATGTTAGTGTCCACCAGACCAATTAAGTCCAATATTCACTCTCCCTTCAGCTGTTTTGTCTCCAGAGGGAGAAATGTCTCTCTTTAGCTTCTTAGTGTACAGCTGGTGAAGCATTATCTTTCTTCTTTCAGGTAATAGCTGAAAGAACAGTAAGCTGAAAAAAGCTAAAAACGCTCTGTAGAGCTGAGAAAGTTGGGGAACGACTATACGTGGATTCCTCGTCGATTGTAAAAATATTAATTAGTGCAGCTTTAAATCTACAATCTAACTATAAATGAAGGACTCTTTGCTTGCTCCTTGATTTTTCTCAAGCACTAGCGCCATTATCTACATGGTGACACTGTTGGTATGTCATTTTGCATAAAGCTGGCGTGTGATCATACCCCAGAGGTGATGAACCATGTAGAGGTCGCCGATCTGTGAGAAAAACCCTCCCACAGCTTCTCTGTTGTGCTGGCGGTATCCAATGGCCCTGGCCCTGCACACAAGAACAACTTCAGTCACAACACAGGCCAAAAAAACACCAAGGCTACATCTGGCACAACAGCAGGCCTGTCCACGTAACATACTTGACCAGTCTTCAAACAAGGACTTCAACATCATCTTTGGATTTATCCTGGACTGTTTTTAATTTACTCAATTGAATTTAGTCTTTTTTTTTTTTTTTTTTAAAGCTAGACAACGCTAGTCTTCCATAGCTGTGATTATCCATTGCAACATCCCATCCAACCATAAGATATGATGCCATTTTCTTACTTGTATACATGTTTATAAATCTCAACACCGGCCAAGTCCATGTGAGATGAATGTTTTATATCCATCATGTTTTCCTCCCCAAAGCAAACAAGCACTTATTTAAATCATAATCACTGTCTGGATACAAAACTATAAAGCGTCAGTTCATCATGTTGTTGTAACTTGAAGAGGAAGTTTAAGCCTTAAACCTCAACTGCACAAATTATACTGAAATTGCCTTAAATTGCTTTGCTGGCATAATCCGGGATGACTATAGAGGTTTGTTCAAATAAAGACAGGCTAAAGTATGAATAAACGCACACGTAAAAGGGAAAAATGACTCCTAGTGTGATCTTTCCAGCAAAGTCCAACTGATCTGGGGTTTTTTTGGAGGCCTATACCGATTTTTGAGCAGGAACAAAAATAGACCAATTTTGCACTGATATGACAATGCAAAGGAACTCAGACTGCTTTCTTAAATACCTTTAATATTTATGTTAAATATTCTTTAACATGTTAAATAATGAAACAACCAAATAAAAAAAGAAAATAAAGAATTAATAAAAATAAATAGCTAAACATCAGTACAATGAAAACTACAAGCCTTTTTACATTATATACTGGGATTATTAGGGCATATCAGATAACATATACACCGATACATCTTCGATAGGCCAATATCAGCCTTTAATATCGTCAGACTGTTTGTTTTCCCGAGTATTTAAATCATCTCTGTTTCATCAGGACTAAAGGAAATGTGAAGCCTCGAAAGCAGAAAAGCCTGCATATTCAAGTGTATATAGTTATATTTACATATAAAATCATTATCACAAACGCGTTAACTGGAAATACAGAAGACCTGACTGTAGCGGCATTTCAGTAATGTTGGAGTTATCTTTTACACCAAACATCACTGACAAAGTTGCAAAACAGGCTGTGATATGTAACCCCATGGAAAAAACAGGTCAGACAAGTACAAAGATCCAACACAGAAATCCACTACGAGGCAATCAAAGTACAGAAAACTAAAAGGTGTGTGCAGAAAGCTCACGTCTTCATTTAAATCAATTGTAATCAACTGCATTGCACAAACTGATATATGTTGACCTGTTGGCTCCTCATCATACTCAACTATTGTGTACATACACACCCTCGTAAGGGTACATCATACTCTACTTTGAATTTGAATCTTGGCCTGAGAGCATGACAGTGCTGCTTCGAAATAGTGCCTCTCTGTGGAATAGCTCTTTAATAATGACACCGTGATGAGGAAGGTTTCATGTAGTGCAACTGATCTGTAACTAAAGCTCAGTGAATCAAATGAATTCAGGCTGCCTTACCAGTAATTACCCCACTCGATCATGGTTCCTGGCTGGAAGAAAGAAAACACAATATTCATTATTACAATAAAATATATATAATTCAGAGCTTTCATAAGTGGAGACTGAAATCACACTGTCTTCTTCTTTCCAGAGGAAACACATTAACACTAATAAATGGTGAGGACGTAACACAGGTATTTTGTCATTCTGAAGATAAGCTGCAATAACAACTACACCCGAAAGCTTCTTCAATCATTCTCTGGTGCTTAAGACAACAAACGCCCCGCTGTTCCTACGATGTAATCTCAGTCTGTGATGAGGGATAATAGCTTGCATTCATCACGTGTCACAGGGAGCGCTGATCTAGACTCCGTTTTTTTCCTGTCAGATTAGAAACAACGACTTAATCTGCCGTGATTGAGCAAGAATCGAGTATTACGTAGGACCAAGACTGCCTTCAGTTTAACCATTGATCCATCTGAAATCATGTGCCACCGGACTGCCAATTTGATTTGAGTCCGTAAATAGTTACAAACTGTATCAACACAGTGGAAGAAACAGCAGAAATGCTGACTTGTCGCTTTATGTCTTGCAGTAGTTTTGAGAGGGTGGAAGGTAATTTAGAGGTCACAGAAGCAAAGCATGTGACTGGAGCTTCATCAGTTTAAATGGAAAAAACGTGAGTTAGGTAAAGTGGAAGAGTAACACTGTGTCCAACGTTAGTGGATGCTTGTTTCCAGTGGTGAAGATACAAAAAAAGTGAGTCAGTTTTCCCTGCATTACCCAACACACTCTTTATCACCTCCGTCATTTATATCATAATGACAAAAGTTCAACATTAACATTAAACAAATCACAGTGTATCAGGTAACAGGCTCTGCAGGTTACACTGTTATGATTACGCTCAGTTGTGCTGAGGCCCGGTTCTCCACACTAAACACAAAGGGTTTTTTCTAAAAAAGCAATCTTAAAGTATTTTACAAAAAATATTGTTTCTTCCTTTTTTCAGCTTGTTAAAGAGTTTTTCTGGGGTGTTGCAGACCTTTTAGGGGATTTTTTTTTGTGTGATTCAGGGGCTATATAAATACAATGTAATTGACTTGAAAAATGGAATGGGTGTAACAGCTTATATTGAGTTAATTGCTCTTTCTTTTTAAGTCTAATAAATGTTTGGATTGTTAGTAATAGTGCTGATTATGTTTGGCAACGCAGAGGAATGGTCCATGTCAGACATTAGGTTGGGCTGGCCTCACACTTTCAAACATGTACAGCAGCACTAATGATGAGGTAAACTCTCTGGTCCGTTACTCACCCGGAGCTGGTAGGACCTAAGCTCATAAATGTTGGGGCCCTCTCG